TTGCTGTTGTTGCTGTTGTTGCTTTTGTTGCTTTTGTTGCTTTTGCCTTTGCTGTGTGGCTGCGGCTCTTTATCGCCGCCATAAATATGGAAATTTTTCATTAGCGATTTCCGTTTCCGATTTATCTTAATGGCCAGCTGGCCGTTGTTGTTTTGGTTGTTGTAATTAAGAAGAGCTACCGTTTGATGCTTTGGCTAAACATGTTTCAGCAACATATTGCCGATAAACATCAAGGCGAACGCAATGTTGCCGATGGGACGACGATAGCAAACCACCAAACCACCAAGCCAACAAACCACCGACCCGCCAAAACAACATACAAAACCACGACGGACTCGGCTCCGAAGAGGAGCTTCGTGTGTGGTCTTTTATCAGGCTTTTGGCCAATGAAAGCGGCTATTAAGTCTTGGCCAGCCAACTGGCAACTTGGGTGGCAACATGCCATTCACCAATCACACATACACAAGCACACGGAGAAAAATAGGATTTTCTATGAGAAATAAACATATTAAACCGAAGTATTTTTTTTGACAAAGGGTTCTTGCTAGAAGTAAATTCATTTCGTTGGCATCAAAAATTGAAATAAAAAAATTGTCATAAAGCAAATTTATTATATATATTAAAGAATGTTAAAAGTCAATTATCAATACATCAAATCAAATACAAGAGATAAAGCCAATTTACTTACTTCTAAAGCTGATTCAAAAGTTGAAAGTGGGGTAACTAATTAAAGGGGGGCTTAATTATACATTGTGATAAATTTATCCCTTGAAACACTATTTTTTTTTCGGTGCAGCTCCGTCTGTCGGCGGCGCCGCACAAAAAAGAAAGCGCGTGCAACGGGCAAAAAAACCCAACGGACCGGAACTTCAACTGGCGCTATATGCAATTATACGACTGCGTCTGTGTCTGCGGCAAACAGTAGCAGCATTTGCCTTTTGCCAAAGATTGACAGCAGAAACTAAGCTTGGGATGGAGATGGCGGGACCACCGTGAAGTCCGAATGCCTCCGATGTCTGGGGGATATATGCACGTATGTATGTTTCCCGATCCGAGATGCTCCCAGTTGCTTGTCGCCACGCCGTTGCGTTATATTGTCAAAAGTAACATGTTGCTGCTGTTGCTTGTTGCTTGTTTTGCTGCTGGCGCTGCTCCCCTTTTGTTACGCCTGCAACTTGCATCTTGTTTTTTTATCTTGGCGCTGTAAATTACACGCCCAAGAGCCTCGAACAATTGCTGTTGGTTGTTCGGTTTCGTCAGTGATGGTGATGCAAATTGTTGCTATCTATCTTGCTGTCAACAACACAATAATTGTTGCCAACATTTGATGTTGCTGCCGTTGTCATAATTTTATTGATGCCGCCGGGCAATTCTAAGTTGTTTGGACCAATTACAGTGAGGCACAGCTTGAAGAACCTAAAGAGACATGAACATTTTTAAGCAGTACCTACTAAACAAAGCAACAATCATGGAAGTATGTATGTATGTACCTAATATCCTAAATAAAATTGTTTTCGAATTTTAAAAGTTCAGATAATTTAAATACAAAAATAATTTTTTTTTTTAAATATGCATATTTGACTTTTTTTAAATGTTCAATTTCATTGTATAAGTTCATTAAATTCCTATCAGTTTTCTGATCGGTGTATACTTATGCTTGGCCTCCAGAATTTAAACCCATTCACATTTCCAGTCCCAACCTAAAATAAAAACTTAATTTCGCTTTCCTCAGAACGATAATAATAAAGCCGAGCTTTACGAACTTTTTGCGCAATGGGATCGAAAATTCCTAGAAAACCGAAAATGCTGGAGCACGGGTTTTAAGGGCAGGGGCAAATAATGACCCACGACCAGATCCAATCCGATCGCGAATAGGGACCACACACAACGGCCGCCCAGGAGCTCAAAGAATTAAGAACATAAATGCGACGGAGCGGCATGAAAAACAAATAATTGCTAATTTTATGCTCGAATAAATGAGCGCGAGTGAGCAGCAGACGAAGGATCAAAAAATGGGCGCCCCACCATTCGGGCGGCATAAATTAGTGCGAGCGAGATGGCTGTCCAGAGAGACGTCACGCACTATCAAACGAGAAAATGATCAATGGGGGCACATCCAGATCCACCGTTCTCTCTCGCTCTCGAAAGGGGATGAAAGGGAAAGAGCAGGCCGGCTAATAGAGACCACCCAAGAAGATGACGACGAATTAAGGGCCACCCACGAAGAGACACGCCGCTGCTCTCTCTCTCTTGCTCGCCCCTTCATGTGTGTTGGTGAACATGAGGGTACACGGAAAGAAACAAAATCAAAAAGATTCATTTTTAGCGAGATTAAAGTAAATTTTGTTTGCCCGTTTTTGACAACAAAATGTTCTATTAATTTATAGAAGTTATGTGCGCTTCTATTCAAAAAACGTTGTAAATGTTGACTTTGGACAAGTATAATCTAATTTGTTTAGTTTTTAATTTATTTTCAGATCTTGATCTCTTGTTTTGAAAATGTACTTAATTGAAACTAAAAAAACTATGCCAAAAAGGTATCGATTTTACAAACTGGTTTATACGAAAACATGCAGAAGGATTGCAAAATTTTTGGCTACTAAATAATAATTCAATTAAAACTTTGAGATTAATAAATATATAAGGTTTTCATTAATACTTTCAGTGCACAAAACCATTTCAGCGTTGACTGTGGAGGGAACCAGAGCAGATAATTGAAATATGTACAACGTTAACATGTGCGCTGAAGTGGGCTCAAACAAATAATAATAAATAAAAAGAGGCTGGAACGGGTCAATAAGTAAACAAATATAAAAGGGTAAATAAAAAACATTGCTTTTTCGATCAACTTTTAAATAACAATAATAAAAGAAGGTCTTACACCTATATAAAAACTATATGAAAGGATTTTAATAGAATTTGTTCACACAGTTATACTTATAGAACCCAAATAAAAGTTTAATACTACAAATTTGTCAGAATTAAAGCACATTTTAATTACACTAAATGAAACTAAATTTAAACAATCCATCGTGTTTTATGTACCTCTTTGAAAAATTTGAATTGTTGGTTGGTCATGTTTATGGTTTAGAAACGCACTTCAAGCTAAACCAAAGTTTTCAACCACACAGTAGGTAAAGTTGCTCTCCAAAGTAAGAATTTCTTATTGGGTTTAATTTCATAACCTTTTATAGCTTCGTAAATGTAAGTATCGATATTAAAAATTTAAAATAAGCAAACGTTTCAAAAATAACGATGCAGCAATTAGAGCATAAATGCATTAATAAATATAGGATCGATACTATCGTTTGAGACCGAAGTTATGACCAGCTCTAAGTCGATACTATCGCTTCAGAGCGATGTTTCTGCAGCTCTAATTTCCAGCGTGGTTGTGCAAAAAAACTTTGGTTCGACTTTATTTCTAATTTAAGTTGTTAAATTTCCGTATCCCGCCCGAAAATGCCCCCAAAAAAAGCCCCGCCAGGACCGAGCAAAAAGACGGAGCAGAAGAAGAAGGAGAAAGTCATTGAGGTAGGGTGCAAATATTTCCCCTGACCCCTACTAAAAAACCGTGATGTGGAAACCCGGCTGGCAGGAGAAATTGAATAAGATCACTGAAAATGCGCAATTTTATTCGGCAGGACAAGACCTTCGGACTGAAGAACAAGAAGGGCAACAAGCAGCAGAAGTTCATCCAGCAGGTGCAGAAGCAGGTGCAATCCGGTGGCCAGCACCCCCGCCAGGATGGAGACAAGCGCAAGGAAGAGAAGGAGAAGAAGCTGGCCGAGCAGCGCGAGATGGCCCTGATCTTCAAGCCCGTCCAGACCCAGAAAGTGGAGAAGGGCACGGACCCTAAGTCCGTGGTCTGCGCCTTCTTCAAACAGGGACTGTGCACCAAGGGCGACAAGTGCAAGTTCTCCCACGATCTGTCACAGGAGAACAAGGTGGAGAAGCGCTCTATCTACGTGGACATGCGCGACGAAGACGATCCAATGACCAACTGGGACGATGCTAAGCTCAAGGAGGTGGTCGAAAAGAAGAGCTCCGGCGACAAGCAGCGTCCCACCACAGACATTGTGAGTTTTAGATTCATTAATCTCTTAAGATATCCTACTAACTACTCAATCTCCTTAAGATCTGCAAGTTCTTCCTGGAAGCTGTGGAGAAGTCCAAGTACGGCTGGTTCTGGGAGTGCCCCAACGGCAGCAAGTGCATCTACCGGCACGCTTTGCCAGCCGGATATGTGCTGAAACGCGACAAGAAGAAGGAGGAAAAGCCCACGGAAATCTCGCTGGTCGATCTGATTGAAAAGGAGCGCGCTGCCCTGGGACCCAACCAGACGCGCGTCACGCTGGAGTCCTTCCTCGCCTGGAAGAAGCGCAAGCTGTCGGAGAAGAAGGCCAAGCAACTCGCCGAGGAGGAGCGCAAGAAGAGCGACTTCAGCAAGGGCAAACAGTTCGGCATCTCGGGTCGTGAGATGTTCAGCTTCAACCCCGACCTGGTCGACGACGGACCGATGGAGGAGGGAGACGCCGCCTTCGATATCTACAAACGCGATGATGACGACGACGACAATGCCGTGGAGTTCAAGGAGCTCGATCTGGCCGCTCTATCGCTGGCAGCCAAGGAGGTGGACGGTTCGGGAACCATTGCCTCCACCACTCGACTACTGGATCAGGCAACGGAAGCTGCCAAAACCGCTGCTGCCGAGGACGCAGCGGCCGATGAGGATGGCCCTTCATCGTCTGCACCCGCCAACGATGCTGCCCCGATTAACAAGGATCTCTTTGTTGATCTGGCCGGCGAACTAGATGACTTGGATCTAGAGGACGATGACGATGACTAGTCCACCGTGTAGTTTGTTTGAAACGAGTTCATAAAATGATTTCTGCCTTTTAGCTAACTTCAATCAATAAAGTTGTGGCTTTCAATTGTTGCATTTCTGGAAATGAGTCGTTGTGTGTTAAACATCCTCAGAACCCAAATTAAAAATTCATTAGTAATCGCATGAGTTATTTATTTTTAGTTACAAACACATTTACCTTAAAATCAACAAAACTACTTAAATTGTAAAACTACCAAAAGCCGGGCGGCAAAATTCCAACGGCCTGTGGAATCTGCCGCTCGCGCAGGAACTTGGCCAGCAGCATTTCCAGCCGCGTTTTTGGGCCTCCTTCATCATAGGCCGCTAGTTGAGGCATGTAAATATTTTGAATATAAATTAGCAGCTTCACAAACTGCTTGCCGTAAGTGCGCCACATCTCGAAGCCGAGCGTCTGCAAAATCTCCATTATCAACGTGGCACTGACGTCGGGCAAAGGCTTTACATTCACCATGTGGGCCAACCACAGCCAGCCCTCCTCGAGTTCAAAGCACTGATCCGGTCCAGCTGACTTCCTGCCTTGAGTAATAATCACAGCTGCGTAGAGGCGAGCGAGTCCCGTCTGGCGTTTCAGGTACATATCCGGTTTCTCCAGTTCGTTTTTGTCCGACAACCTATAGCCAATGCTCTTTAGATACTGCTCGTTGGTCTGTTCCGGCTGCTGGGGTATTACATAGGGCACCAGGAAGGGCGACTCCTTGTACATGTAGGCCAAAAAAACTTTGCCGAAGTCGGGCAACAGCTTCCAGAACGTGACAATTACCGAGGCAAAGGGAAAGGCCGCTTGAGGATTACTCGAAATTGCCGTCTCCGTTTGACTGACGAACTTCTTGGCCATCAGTAGCATGCAATAGTCGCGGGCAAGCGGATGATCGTTGATGGTGATGGTCGAGCCATTAACGACTTTAACCGGCTGCCCGGCAAAGAAGCTATAGAGCTTGTCAAAGTTCTGGGTCAGATGCTGCGGACTGACTGCTGAGATGGCGTTCAAGGGCAGGTTAATGGCCCTCTGGCAGCCGGTGCGGTACTGCTTCAGCGACTCCTCCGTTTGCAGAGGCTTCACTGCGTCCACTTTGGCCTGATACAGTGCAATGATTTCGTTGTAGAACTTTAGTCGATCCGGGTGCACACATGAGGATGCTGCAGTGCTTACTGCCGGTGGCACTTCCTGGGGTTTGGGCACCTCCGGAGCAGAAATTTTGGCAGCTTCTGCCTTTGCCGCCTCGGCTTGTTGTTGTTTCTCCTTGGCCTCTAAAGCCTGCTTCTCCAGGCGCTGCTTCTCTTCCTCCGCCTGCTTCTGCCGCTCCTCCTCCTGCTTCTTGGCCGCCTCCAATTTTAGCTGCTGCTGGATTTGCTCGGAGAACTCGGCCAGCTGCTTGATTATGTCCATTTCCAAGGCATCTAGACTTTTGCAGCATTCTTCTGCTTTTATAATGGAGCAAAGAAACTGGCTCTGCATTTCGCACTTGCCCATTTTTACTGTGCTTACCAGCTGCTCAAATTTCTGGCCCAGCTCCTTAAGCTGTTTGTTCTGGGTGGCGCATACTTGGACTGTTTCCTTGTCGAGCGAGAGTAATATCCTAGCTATGCCTTCGTACTTCTGATTGAATCTCCGTTGGCAGCGGGCAACGCCCTCCAGAGCGAGCTTGTGCAGCTTGTTGTCAGTCTGTTGGCGCAAGGCCAATTGTTCTCGCTGCTGGGCTTCCAACTGTGCCGCGGTCATTTGATCTGCCTTCTGAACTAGAAGGATTTCGTTTCGTTCCCGCAGCGCCTTTTTCTGCAGTTGTTCACGTTGGAGCTCTTCCTCCTTTTGAAGGGACACACGGGAAAGGCGCAGGGCATCTTGTTTTTCCTTAAGGGCCTTTAGTTGTTGGCGGACGCACCGTTTGCCCTCCTCCGCCATTTCCCGTCTCACAATGCTGGCGTTGATGGCTTGTGCGTCGGGAAAGCAGGATATACTGGGTTCCAAATCTGTGGTGGCTGGGTGGGAAATTTCCTTTTTGGGGGCTGGAAAATCTTCTGGTATTGGAAGTGTCTGTGGAGTATTTTTATTGCCCTCAACCCACAAGGGCTCGCGATCCTCGCCCAGAGTTCTTCCTGTGCACAACTCGGACGCCAAAGCCGCATGATGTAGCGTCGATTCCACTGTCAGCCATTCCAGGGCCCTCATTAAACCATCCATGCTCTGCAAAGAATACGTTTAACATTATTTATCGTCATGAGTTTGAATATACTTGCCATTTTTCCCGCTTATTGCTTATAAAAAAAAGTTCTTCCGGCAACCAATAAAAATATTAGGTTGGGCTGCCAACTTTTTTTAAGTTTTCAGAGTTTCGATACTTTTTGTTATTGTGTGTTACGAAATGTGGTCTTACTTTTTTTTTTTAAATTTTAATTATTTAGGAAAATTATCCAAAAGGTTTTTTTTTTTTATAAATTGAAGTGCAAAAAAGTTATTTTGGTTAATAAAATATGACAAAGAATAGGAACATTTTTAGAAATACACATATTATATGCGTTAAGTTTGAAAGGTCACTCCCAACACCTTTATTTAAAAAACATTCATTTGTTGTTGACCCTTTCACTATTAAACATTTTTCCAAGTACAAATATACATTTTACAATTGTTAAGTTTTTAATATACGGAAACACAATTCGTATCGCTTGACAAGATAAAGTTAATATATTGTATGGACATTCAGAAGAACTTTACGCCATGGCTGCCGTCCATTTCGATGAGTTCGCACCTGCCCTTCTCCTCGAGCAATCGGAGCGCGCTGAGTAGCACCGCCTCGTCCACACCATGGAAATCCAACTGGGTGGTGTTCTCACCGGAGGCAATCTCGTAGAGTGTACAGATACTGTTGGTTTGACCAGTTTCCTGCACCCAATCGTAGACCATATTGCCGTATTCTTCGAGGGTGAACCAATATACCTGCCAATCTTGGCGACGCTTGTCCAAAGGATTTGCATGGCCAGTCCGCTCCAGTTCACTCAGGATCGCCAGGACGAGTTCCGGGGAAAGGCGACGCTTCAGGGATTCGTTATGGAACAGCGGAGAGTTCTGATCCCCGATACTAATCGTAAATTTATTCGTATGCCTGAGGTATTTGAGAAAAAGATCTGTCCAGACTTTCAGCTGCTGTTGTCTGGTTTCTTCGTGGGGCTGTAAACTAAGTGCCAAGATAATTACAAGGATTAGGTCAGCTTATATGGAAGACTCACGTAAAGAAAGGTGGGAAGGTATACTCCCAGGGCCATTGGAAATCCGTCATCTCGGTTAACTACGAAGCAATCATTTGTTTTGCCAATGAACCACAATTACTAATGGTCTAGTGGGACCGTTTGGGCTTTATCAAAAAATATACAAAAAACATAGGAAAAATGGTTTACAATAGATATTTGATTTAAAAATTTAAAAATGTCGTTACTATTTGTTCCTTTGCTAAATTGATTGAATTTGGCTAAACTTAATTTTAGTAAATAATTATTTATAAAAAAGAAAATACAAATTGAAGAAAATGATTTTAATTTCACGGGTCCAAAATGGTAAACACAAAAGCTTATGAGAGAATGGAAAATAATACGAGTTGGTTTACTTATATATAGAATAGCCTAAAACTATCTTTTTTGTCCCAATTAAATAATTTTCTTTTAGCTCAAAGTTGAGCCAAAAATTTCTTTTCTCATGACAGTTAAAAACAAAATTGAAAATTTATTGCCAGCTTGTCCACAGCTTTTATCAATTGAAGAATATCTTATAATATAATACTATCCATTTTATACGTGTCGAATACATGAGTTTTTTATTTATATGTTATATAATAAATTCCCTACACAAAAGGAGGTAGGTTAAGTACTCTCGAAAATTCAGTATATAGATTCCCCACGTCCCAGTAAAACAATCCAGGTCCATTTACATTAAAATGCAATCCATTTCTTTTATTTTGTCTTAAATAGAAAAAATTGTGTACATTAACATTTTCATCGGGCTTTTTCATAAAGTTTGATTTGGGTGTCTGGTTTCGGTTTTTTTTATATTTTTAGATCTCAGATTTTTGAATCTCTCGAATCGATTTTGTGAGTATGTGGCGACGAAAAGGGGATTGCATGGCTTGCATCATCAATATACATTCACATATATATACTCGTATCTGATATATCTGGTTTAATATAAGTAAAGTACTAGGAGGCGCAACACTATACATTCAATATCTGCTATTCCGTAATCCTTCTTGTCCGCAAAGTCGGGCTTTCCATTCCGTTTTATACACTAACTTGTGTGCTATGCTGCGGGTGCTTAATTTCTAACTTTATCGATTGTGTGCTTATGGTTTCCTTCAAGTTTAACTTGCTGATCGGATCAAATGGGATCGAGCTGTGGAGCTGGAGCTTCCTTGGCTTGTTTTGTTATGTACGGCGTATAGTAGTATATGGTAATCATCTTGATTTGCACTTTATTTTATTTGGTTTTTGTACACATGCGTGAAATTCTAGAGAGAATGCCATTCAGGGAGTGGGGACAGTTAGTACAGTTTAGTGTGGAGGACGTTAGCTGGCTAGTGTTTAAAGAGTTACTTTCAGTTAGTTCCTAGTTAACAAGTGAGGTTCGGTTGAAATCTTTCTTTGCTATATAGGTATTTCCGTATGCTGCTCTATCGGTTCGGTGCCTGCAATGCAATTTCCAAGACATTTACATAGCATTAGCATTCGATTTATTTAATCTCTCGTTATATCGTATAAATAATAAAGCGTTCTACGAGCTCCCTTCAAAAAATACAAAATAAATGCCCTATATACGTGTGCTTAAAGCATCTATATTGATGAAAATGTACACTTCAAATGCTTCGCTCTGGTTCGCTTACAACGTAAAAGAAATGCAACAACAAAATGGCATTGTAATTCCCTCGAAATCTTTACACTAGTGTTTCGCAGTTGGAAGGAATATTTGGTTCAGAGGTGTGTAGTAAACGGCAGTTGGATAGCAAAAAATTACAAAATTTCGAACGTAGGTTTTCTTTTTGGTTTATGAAACACGAAACAAATCTTAAGCCTGTGTGTGTATATATATATCTTACGAGCATAATCAGCGAAAATCAAAAACAATTGATTCCTTACAAAATACATAAAACATAATTCGCCTGCATTCTTTAGATCATGTACATACAGTTCTCAGATCTTATACATATACATCCATATATATATACTTGATTTTCCGGTTGTTTAAATAATTATTTAAGTATTTAAAAATGGCATGTGGTGACATGTATTACAATACATTATACATATATGGTACATACATTTATATTTAATATCGATTCCAAGTTGGTATAAAATGCATGCAAGTCGAAGGATCCAGGAACCAGGATCCGACCCAATCCCACGTCCCCCTTGAATTTTGGTTAAGCTTGCACGACGCCGTATTGGGATGGATGTGCCTACGGTCTAGGTTCTCAATTATTTCATATACACTCATAAAGTTTTGGGATTCTCGAATCACTGCACGTATAGCATGACAGCATGTTGTTTCACACAATGCTCCATATTTCGACTAACGACTAATACTAGGTATAGCTAGAGATCCTAAGCTACAATTTTTGCCTAAGACTGTTCTTCTGGGCGAGTGGCTCGGTCGGCTCACTTGGCCAGTGGTTCCAGATAGCACCGCACCGTGTTGTTCTCGTCCAGCATCGCCGACAGGTGGCGCTGCTGGAGGTGCGGCGGATGCAGATGGGGATGCGGATGCGGATGGGCGAGCTGGTGGGGATGCGGATTGGGGTTGCTGTGCGATGTATGCGACGACGATGATGTGGTGGACTGTGGTGACAGTTTCTGTAGCTGCTGGCGCTTCTGCGCGGGCGTCTGATTGGCCGGCGGCAGCGGCGGTCCGGCGTTGCCGTGACCGAATAGCTCATTCACCGCCAGACGACCGCCTGGCGACTTGGCATTCAGTGCTTGCTGCTGCTGTTGCTGCTGCTGCTGCTGCCGGTATGCGCCGCGCAGGGAGCCCTCACCAACGCCGCCGCTAACCCCAAAAACCGCACCGTTGTGCTCGGGGTGCGGACCTGCTCCTGGCGCCGATCCCGGTGGCAAGGCCCCGTAGTCGAGGGGCGCTCCATTCTTGCGCAGCTGGCGTCTGGAAAGGAGGATAGATGAAGGAGTTAATAAACATATTTTTAAGAAAAGGGTTTTTGAAGGTACATTTTAAAAGATTTTTTGTTATATTAAAACTAATTCAAATACTTTTTCAGTTCTACAGAAAATAAAAAGTACATCCCATAGCTATAGCCTGTATAAGATGGGGATTTTAAATGTGTTATTCTTGAACAAAAACAATTTTACCTAAAAATATTTTATAACTATATTGTTCTTTAGAGCTGCAGTCACGATAAGAAATCTTAAAGTTGAAAGATTAGCAATCACACAGGAAAGAAATACTCTGTCTACATTCTTTTCTCTGTCAATATTGTTGTGCTCGATCTTAATCCTCCTGCTCCTAACTCATATTTTAAGCTATATTTAACAATTCCAATATACGGACTTTAATTTTCATCTTCATAATTTGCTGAGATTCACTACAACCTTTTGCGTACTACATTTGATATAAATACAAAACTTGCTTTTTGCTAAAGCTTTAAATACTCACTGAAACCGCCGCTTAAAGTCCTCGTCCTGCATCGCCATCAGGCGACGCATTCGCTCATCGCTCTGGGGCGGCAATCCATGGGAGTCGTCCTCCAAGTCGCTCTCGTCCTCCTCGTCGTCCTCATCACAGATGGTGCCGTGCAACTGCTCCGCGGCCGTCGCCTCCTCGTCCTCCTCCTCGTCCTCGTCGTCGTCGTCATCGTCGTCAGCCGTGCAGCGTCGAGCGGACCTCTGCTGGGCCAGCGACTGCTGTTGCTGCTGCTGCTTCTGGAGCTGCTGCTGCTGGCTCCTGGACGAGACGCTGCCGCCACTGAGGCTGCCGCCGCCGTAGCGACTTCCGCCGGCGGCCACTGCCGCTCGCATGTTGTTGAAGACGCCGGTGCCGACGCTGTTGTTGTAGACCTCGTCCACGTCGAAGTCGCCCACCTCGTAGTGCTGCACATCCGAGTTGCGGTTGCTGAGGATCTCCTCGTACACCGGCCCGCCATCAGCGCCGCCGACGCTGCCCTGGTTGTAGTAGGCATCGCCCATGCCCAGATCACAGTTGGAATGCTTACTTCTAAACTGGCGCTGCATGAACTCCTGCTGGTACTGCGCCATATGCGGCGGCGGAGCGGGGAGCTGCTGCTGTCCGCCTGGTCGGCGTTGCAGGTGCAGCAGATGCGCGTGCTGCTCGGCCTGCTCCTCGTCGGAGGAGAGTTGCTGCTGCTGCTGCTGTTGCTGCTGGTGGTGTTGCTGCTGGCGACGCAACTGCTGCTGCTGCTGGTAGTAGGCAGCCGCATTGCCACTTGGCTGCGGTGGGTCCAGTGCCTCCGCGTACTGCGGATAGCCCGATGACGGCTGACCCGGCTTGGTCTTCTTGTACGAGGGATAGAAGAGCACCTGGGAGGCGGCGGCGGTGCGGCTGTGCAGCGATCCACTCGGCGAGGCGGGAACTCCTCCGGCGCCCCGCTTCTTCTTGCCATGCTGCCCGCTGTTCGGTTTCTGGGTCCAGTAGAACACCTCGTGCGCCTGCTGCGGCGAGGAGGCAGCTGCTCCAGCGTTGTTGTAGTACTCCCGCTGGGCCTTCAGTCCTCCTGCTCCTGTCGGCGGCTGTTTCCAGCTGTAGTAGTCCGGCTGATGGTAGTAGGACTCGCCCAAGGGACCCTGTTGTTGCTGCTGCTGCTGTTGTTGCTTGTGGGCGAAGATCAAATGCGTGGATCCAGCTGAACTGGTTGGAGAGGCGTGACCGGTGGAGCGGAGAGTGCTGCCCCTTTCGAGCACCACATGGCCGCCTAGCGACTGCGATGGCGTCTGTAAAGTGCCCGTCATCAGTCCGCTCTTCAGGGTTCTCCGTTGCTGTGCCTCATTGAGTTCGCAATCAGAGCTTGCTCCCATTATGGCGTCCTCGGTGACCGGCACTCCCGCCTGCTGCTGCTGCTGGGGATCGTCGTGCGCCTCCTCGCTCACTCCCAGCGGCAACTTGGGCTTCTTGGAGGTGGAAACGCTGCAGAGGGTTCCAGCAGTGGGTCCATTACCCGCCACAATGCCCGAGGAAATCGAGGTCTTCGAGCAGCGCAGGCACTTGGGCAACCAGGCGTGCTGCCTAACATACTTTCGGTACTCCCGCCGGATCTTCTCGTTCTGGATGCAGTGGAACACGAAGATATACAGTCCCAACAAGGTGTTGAAGCAGATGAAACAGTAGCCATAAATATCAGCGGTGTCCTCGTCGTTTTTAGCTCCCCTCAAGTAAAAGTAGGCTGAACACCAAACTGCACTGAGCAGCAAGAGGAACACAAAGGAGCAGCGTATGTCAAATCTGAGAATGGAAATAGGTTTTATATTAGTTTATGATGCTTTAGTAGGTTTGGAGATATGTATCCTACCGGACGCTAGCCAATCTCGTATGCTCCTTGGTCTTCAAGCCCGTGCGACTCTTGCGGCACATAATTATCCAAGACAGAAATGTATAACCAATGGCAGCCTGTAAGTATTTAAATATTTAAAATCAATAAATAACTCAAATAACTCTCAGTATTCCCTTAACTTACCACAAAGAATATTAGCACTGGTGCAACAAAGGTGGCATAAAACAAGGCATTAGCCTCCATCAGAACGCAATAGTCATTCTGGGTGTAGGTGCTGGGATCAATGACCAGCGAGATGGCCACCACGCTCAACGACAATCCGTAGGACAAGAGGTAGTAGCAATTCACCTTGGGCGTCTGATCCACCTCCAGCAGCAGCTCATCCGAGGTGAGGGTGGAGTACGAATGGAAGGCTGTGTAAGTGCGAAAAGTTAGATCTGAAAAACATAACCCAATTCTAGCCATCTTACCTTCGTAGCAGAACCAGGCGGTGCCAGATAGAATAGCACAGTGGAGGAAAATAGTAATGAAGCCGCAGAAAATGCTTGTTTCGGTCTGTTCAATGCCCAGTAGAAAGAGCAGCTCGATGGCCAGCAGGCAAAGGTAAATGCTGGTGTAAATCGAGGTGCGGGCGGACTGGATTGGAAAGATAAAGAGAGGAGACAGAGTGAGGAGTTTGATAAGTCTTATAGATCAGTTAAATTTTTTTGGAGTAGAGCCAGCAGAACAAGATTGAATCGCAATTTCGAGAAATTTGATAAAATAGATATCATGTAAGCCCTCTTTTGAAGAATAGGTTTCAGTTCAGATGTTCAGACTTATTTTAGAATTTGATTTACAATAATTTTGGTGGGTGGTGGTGAAAAAATTCAAAGACTAAGAGTAATACAATAAAGAATATTGTACGTATTAAATAAAACAATGAACTAGACACGAAACAAGCACAACATATAGACAGTATATATACAAATGAAATGAACAAACACAAAATGCAATATTTACAGGACAAAATTAGCAACATTTGTATATTTTATTAATTAATTAAATACAAAAGAAAATCAGAAATGTTTAGGGTATTAAATTGTACGATGTCTAGGTTAAATTTGTTAAACAATGAATGCACATAAAGGGTTAGGATGTCTCACAAATGATTAAAACATTAAGTACAACATGCCAGAGTAATGATCTCTAATAAAACGAATGAGTGTGTATTTCACATGGAGAAAAAACACAATATGGTTGGGAGAAAGTGCGCTAAACTTAGACTATGACAAATTACTACGATACATAAATACAAATGGAGAGTCTTTGCATGAAAGCTGAAGCTGGAATGCGATGAAGGGATCTGTTTTTAATGAACAAGGGTTGAGGTCCTCATCCATTTTCAGATTAGATCATCGCTTGCCAGCACAGCTTTTGAGTCTTATGATTGAGTCCTATCAGAGAAAGAGAGAGAGAGTTCCATTAACAATTTGAGTTACTTAAGCATTATATCACATGTGTCTCTCGATCATAAATACATAAGTCTAGAGAGCCTAGCCTAGCCTACAATTCGTGTTTGTTTATCTTTTTTTTTCACCACCACCACCACTTATATTGTAAGTCATCAATGTTGGCCTGCATGATGATGTTGTTCGTGTTGTCCAATCCGTTGCCGTCCACATTCAGGTTGGGATTGCGGTGCGGATGTGGCTGCTGCTGCTGGTTATGTTGCTGATGCTGGGCGTGTTGCTGCTGCAGATAGTTGTGGCTAATGTTGAGGTTATTGCTGGCATTGCTCGCCTGCACCGCATGCTGCTGCAGAGCAGCGGCAATCGAGGCAGCAGCTGCTGCAGCAGCCGCCGTCTGCTGGCCATGTTGGTGCAGATTCAGATTCAGATTATTCATGGCGTGTTGCATGTTGCGCTGCGGCTGATTCGACAGCACCACAGCGGCGGCGGCTGCTGCAACAACTTGTTGCTGCTGCTGCAGTTGCTGCTGCACATTGTAGTTCAGATTGTTGCGGTGCGAGTTGCGGATGGAGTTGTGCTGGATAAAGTTTGTGTTGCCGTGACTGGGAGTCGACACATTCGTCTGACTTGTGGGCGTGGTCAGGGTCAAGGACTCGTGCGTCTGATCGCGTATATTGTTCTGCTGGCGCCTGCTTCCCGCCCGCTGATGCGGCAGCGGATTGGTGCCGTTTCTTACCTTCACAAAGACCCCATTGAACAGTTTCAGCGTCAGCAGGGCAATCACAATGAACACCACGCAGATGGCAATGCTGATGTAGATGAAGACACGCATGTTGCCGTCGAACATGGTGAACAGCGAGTGCTGGTGCTCGTCCACCACGTCCATTAGGATGGCAAAGTTGGTCAGGTGGTTGCAACTGCAAACACTGTGCGTGCGATTCGTGGACTCCAAGCTGCATCCATTGGCAGACCAGGCACTAAAAAGGGAGTTTTTTGAATAGGTAAACATTCCCCCGAAAAGTTAATAATCTCTTACTGGTCAATGTAGTTCCAGAATACGCAGGTGGGATTCGTCACATTCTCGGTTTTTAGATGCTTCAGGGTCAGTGTAATGGGTTGGGAGAGCTGTATGTGTCGCCCCTTGCCCAAGCTCGCGGAGATCACCTTGCTGTTCAGGATTCGCAGACGTTGCTGCATCTCTCCCGCATTAACATCACTGTCGTTGGCCAGGATTGCTGTATTGCGAACTAAGACATGTTTAAGATTATTCCATTTTAACAGTAACAAACCACAGAGTTCTTCTGGTGGTTTCTTTTCTTATGTACTCACCATAACTACGGGAACTCTTAAGATCAAAGTGGTCATAGCTGGGTTTCAGAATCGATTCCAAACGATCGAAAGCAGCAAATACAATTCGCACCAATCCACCTTCACTGTTATCAATGAGAGCCGCTCGGGGCAGTTCGATGCGATCGGAACTCAAGGGCCATTGATCCGAGTCCGGAAAGACAACGCTGGACTGGATGGTCTTGGTTTCCAGCACTCGAACAGAGAGCACTAACAAAGAATAAATATAAGTACCCAATATAAATCCAAAATATGTAAAACACTCACATATATTCTTGACTTTTTGCACCACACTGCGTTCCCTGATGATTGTATCTGCCAGCAAGAAGGCATTGTACTCCAGGCCAGTTAACAAAGATGTGGCCACCCGCATTTGGTCCTCCGGATTGAGATCCAACCACGAGGACAGCTGCGATTCATCGAGCAAATTCGAACCCGTTTTGACCACACAATGTAGCAGTTCCATAATCATGGCCTCCCGTTGTCGCTGATCCGGGAATGTCTCCTTGTCGTGCAGCATCTTCTCAGACACAGTTTGGATTATCTTGGTGGTGACCAACATGTCGCCTCCGTAGAGCGTCTTGCTACTGGTCACCTCGGACATGTCGTTGGCAATGGAGATCAGGGAGGAGTCCCGCTGGTTCACCCGCATCTCAAGGTTGTTCAGCCAGAGGCTGCGGCACTGCGTGAGATCCGGTGTCATGGGATGCCAGGTGGGCTCGAAGTTGCGCAGCCGCTGGTTCACTTTGTGAGCCATGCTCACCGGCGGTTCGCAGCTGCTGCTGTTGTGCAGACAGTCGCCTCCGCTGGGCGGTGGAGTTGTGGAGCTCAGGTCGTCATCGTACTCATCGTAACCGGAATCCGGCATCCGCTTCATCAGCACACAGCGCCACTTGGCGATGCCAGCTGCTCCGCCGGGACAAGGCTGAACATTCACATCTCCCACTCGAGTTGTGTTCCAGAAGAGATTCCTAGCATGGGTGGGTCCGCAGAACAACTTCGACTCCTCATCGCCCCCTGACATTCCGGCTGCGTTCAAGTTTATGTTGTTGATGGTGCGCACCACACTGCCGTTTCCGGGGGCGGCAGAACCACTGGCCGCCGTTCCTGGCGGGCGGTTTGGAGAGCTCTTGGTGGTCAGCAGGGTTCCATCATCGGTTCCCGAACCTCCCACTCCGGTCAGAATGCGAGTGTTCGAGGGAGAAGTTGCGTTTCCGGCAGCCGGTAGCTTGCTGCTCGGTTTGGTGGGTGCGGGGCTCTCTTCGCCGTGGTGGTTGTGATGGTGGTGCAGTTGCGGAGGCGGTGGCAGGCCATCGTGGCGACCAGCAGGATGCTTTGTGGTCGTCGTGGAGGTGGCCACCCCCTTCAGTCGTCCGCCATTGGCAGTCGCAGTGCTGCTCGAGGGCGTGGAATGGGTGACCGCCGTGTGTTGCGGTGGCACGTTGAACAGTCCGGGATTCCCGCTGATTCCCACCACTCCGGGCAGCGTAGGAAGTCGCGGCGGTGGCGGCGGACCACCTCCAACGCCGGGCGGGTGGATTAGACCACTGCCATTGCCAAAGATCGGCGGACCGTTGCTGAGCACCCACGGAGGAGGACTTGGTCTGTTGGTCGTCGTCGAGGTTTGTGCAGCACTGATGCACTGGTAATGCGCCTCCAGGTATTTGTGCGTCCCGGGACAGGGATCCCCGAACATGCTCGTGGCTGCCAGCACTCCGCAGCTCTGCTTGTGAGCACATCTGTAAAACAGAGATGGTGGGTTAAGGTTAAAATATTCAAACTTTTATTTGAAACATCTTTAGATACATTTTTCATTTTAAGCTTGAATGAAAGTATTATTGTTTTTGTTTAAGAAATTACTTATTGCTCAGTAGATTAACTTAAAAACATCAATATTTACTGATATCTTTCTTTAGTTTGGACTACAACTTATGTATTTTTACTTAAATCTCATAATAAATTTACTATTTATTATTCATAAATAAATCTTCTTAAGCCCTTACATTATAAAAGTAGTTTTTAATGCTCAGTAGTGCAAATATTTATAACCAATATATTCTTTCTGGCTCAAGTTATGAAAGATAATGCTTTTTTTGTAATCCTACCTTGAGTTCAGCACGCTGAGTGACTTGGGAAACATGCAATTGACACTCCACTCCACGTTGCCATGGTCGTTGCAGATGGTGATCGAAAATCGTCCATAGTTGGCCCGTATCAGGTTGATCACATCTCCGGGATCGCACTCGATGGTCAGTTTCTTACCTTCGCAGGCGTAGGCGGTTTGGTACTTGGAAACTGCAAGTTAAATCGTTCATAAGTCATGGGGTAATAGGGAGGGTTGGGTTTGGATATGGGATAAACATATATATGGCATATATAGAGAAAGAAAAGATTAGTGGCGATGCGCTGGTTGTTGTAGTTTGGTTTGGTTTGGTTTGGTTTGGTGGTGTTCCTGCAAAGACACTTACGGATCTAACGATATATGCACATAGGATATAGACAATATGGTTGGTAGCATGATACGCTTTTACACTGCCTGGGATATACTTAGTATATGTTGTGGTTGATTTGTGGTTTTGGTGGGTCGTTAGCGATGGATGCTTGGTAGCAAGTAGAATAGTAGTCATAAATACCAAATCCTGCCGAGCCAGCTCACAAAACTATGGCCGCCCATCATCCTTCATATCGATCATGATCACTTGGTCTGACTTTTGAGTGTTAAAACTGCAAGGAATATAAGATTTGACATTTTGGTAACAGGGCTAAAACAAACATGAAATGGGAATTCCTTCAGGTAGACAGTCATCCATCACCAAGGGAATAATGCGCACAAATTAAACACGAATCTATTTTTTGACTAGCACCAAAATAACTTTTAAAAGAAACAATCTAACATATCCTCCCAAATCAATGTAGAGACCTTTTAACATTAATTTATTTTATAATTAGATATATAATTAGTTTAATTAATTTTATAATTAGATGATAATTATAAATTGTCAATTTTTTTTATTAAAAAATATTTTATTAAATTTGTCTATTTTTTTTTTTAGGTTTTTGTAAGGTATAAACTTCTATATGCATTTACAAACTTAATGACCTTTTTGACAGAACTGTGAATGACCTATTTTCAGGTCAAGCCGGAAATAATCGCAAGTACTTACCTCTTACGAAACTCCATTTTGAGATTTTCACAGGCAAGTCGGGTTTGAGAAGACCCAGTGTCTTATCTGAATGAAAGAAGAAACCATAAGATAATTGTTTACATATTGAATACATGAGCAAACACGAACAAGCAGGCAAAAGACAAACAGAAGATAGGGAACGGGAAATAGGGAGTGGGGGAAAAAGGGAGCCTAAAAATACACACCCCGATTTCGATGTGGTTGTTGCATCGCCATCGATTTGTGGGCAGAACAAAGACTCGTTTTCTTTGTACCCCCGATGCATACTACATATATGTAGGTACATGTCTACATATAGAGAAAAGTTGCTGCAGCTGCGCTTCATCAAGTTTTTTTTGCCCCGCGGAGCCCCACTTTTAATGGAGCTCTTTGTTCTGCCTTCAGACACTTTTTCCAACCTTAAGCTGTTGGATATTTCACGAATTTCTTGAATTTTACACATTTTAGCACTTAATGAAAAGTTTTCCTAATGATTTTGGCAGTTTTTAATCGGTTTTTTAACGAGATTTGATGACGTAGTTCTGGCCAATTAAAAAGTGGCAAACTAAGCTGGGCTCAAGCCACACTTTTGCTTTATACTTAAGTAATGTGTTACTTCAGTAATGTGTTGGTAATAGTTAATTATTAGTTTTTATTTCACAATTTGTAATAATTTCAACTTATATCTTTGCTCAAGTATCTTTAACTTCAGACCGTTCCTATTCGTTCAAGAGCTCGATTCACAATCAACTTTCTTTTAGAAAAATTCTGTATACTTGAATGTCTGGTTGAAATCGAACGGCGTTGCCAGCACAAAAATAAAAGCACTGCCAACTCGTTACCGCAAAGAGCGCACAATTCAAATTGAAAATCATAAACGGCCGAAAGTCACCGCTGCTATGGCCGATCCCCGTCTGTACCTAAAGTTTGCAACTTTTGAGTGCTGAGTACAATAAATAAAATAAATAGTCTAGTTCAAATGTTGTTGAGTTGAAAAATTGTTATTGTTATATTAATATATATTTTTGAACTAAGATACTTTAAGCAATAAGAAGCAATTTTGCTTTTTCTACTCAAAATTTATAATACCGAACCAAATGTTTATCTCGGTATCCAGTAAAAATCATAGGACAAAAGAACGTGAGTCAGTTTGGAGAATATGCCTCGACAAGTTCAAGAGCACTTTCCAAGTTCAAAATTTCTTATCTGCAGTCGGCTTTAGCATTAAGCTTAGCTTTTGTTTCCTGATTTGCGCTCAGCTTAGGGAAATGCATTTCGCTTGCGATTTCAGTTGAATTTAGATTCCATTGAGCTCGGTTCAAATAAATATTTACTCGGAATGGAATATTATTTAACAATATTTATAATACAAATGCTGCCTTTAGCCTGGTCACTTCAAGTACCTTCAAAAACAAAGACAACTAAAGCTCCCTTAAAGGACGTATTACCCTTTAATACTACGCTAATACCTATTGTGACAGTTGTTCCGGAAAAACTGGCCGAAGTCCACATCGACCACCATAAAACAATAAGAATAAGCAAGGGAGATCTGGATGATCTGCTGGATGTTTATATGGAAAAAATAGCTGAGAGTGCTGCCACCATTAAGGACAAAGAAATTGAGATAGATAAACTGCAAACCAAGGATCAAACGGGCGATGACTTGCTCCAGAAATTCGAAAACCTCACTCAAGTGTGTAGTGCCCAGAATACTACATTTACAACTCTAATTAAAGAAAAGGATGCTATGATCAAGGAACTGGAGCAAAAGGTAAAGATATACGAGACGCGGATGAAAAGAAAACAACATGTTTTGACGGAACTGAGGAAACAGAACGAATCCAGTGCCTTATTAATCGAGCATCTTAAGGGAAAAGTTGTTTACTTCGAGAGAAAATTCCGGGAGAAAAAGACGATCTGCTGGCTGACTGGGAAGCTGCCACCACGAGTTGCGTCCCCTTTGGTACATACCCTGGGATCCATTTGATCCACTTGCCAGGGTTCCAGCCCTTTTTGGTTCCCTGCGAGGGACAAACTGCAGCTGGACCTGGATGGACTTCCATTCAGCGCAGGCTCGACGGATCCGTGAACTTCTACCGTAATTGGGATGCATATAAAAAAGGATTTGGCAAGCTGAATAGAGAGTTCTTTATCGGTTTGGAGAAATTGCACAGAATGACGAATTCCCAGCCGCACGAGCTGTATATCAGCATCAAGAGATTCAACGGCGAGACGAGCTATGCTCACTACGACAACTTTCTTATCGGCAATGAGGAGGAAGGCTACGAGCTCAAGTTACTGGGTCACTATCAGGGGAACGCCAGCGATGCGTTGCGCACCCACGACAAGATGAAGTTCTCGACCTTCGACCGGGACAACGACGCCTTCACGCACATGAACTGCGCGAAGCACCACCAGGGAGCCTGGTGGTACGACTTCTGTTCCCGCAGGTAAGAAATTAAATTTACAGGTCTTGTTTTTTAAAAATGGTCTGAACAGTCCGTGAAATCAGAAGCTTACAAAGTTCATACTTTCAAAGATAGTTAGGTGTTATATAGGTCTTACAATTTCAAAGTATTTTTTTTTGACAATTCCCATTCATATTTACATCCTTGATTTATTAAATAAAACTTCAGCAATCCTAATGTTCATCACATTTTTTTGGTATATCAGCAAAAATTCAAACTCTCAACGTTATCAAAAATGAAATGTAATGTTCTATTATCTATAATTTCAAGTTGGCTATTTATCTGAAGTATTCTGGAAATCATAAAGTGAACATTTTTATGATAAGTTACCATTAATTGAATCAATAACTATTATTTTGTTACTGACAAACATTATTAAAATTATTTTACAATTTTCGCTTATCATTATAGATACCAATAAATCTGGTTATGATTATTTTTCAAAATGATAATTTAGAAATATGACAGTGTAATCTTAGTAATGAATTTCAACATACATGTCAAAATAAAACCTCAAACTTTATCAATTGATCCATTATAAGCAAATATAAATAAATTTGTTGATCAATTTGCTATCTTAAAGATAAAAAGTTCAAATTATACTGACAGCTAAACTGTACTAGAGATTTCTGTTCTTCTTTTAAGTATTCATATTTTTTCTAAATAATAGTTAATTTATTAAAATTTAAATTTTGTATTATTTTCCACGTTTTAGCAATTTGAATGGTAAATACTTCAAGGGAGAGGTGGATAGTCCGGAGAGCATCTACTGGGAGCCGTGGTACAGCTTTCGGTCCTTGAAGTCCGTACAAATGCTCATCCGACCCAGGAGCCAAATGGAGCTAAAGGACCTGCCGAAGGCCAAGCGGACGCCAAGGAATCCGAGTTAATTAGCTATTAATTTCAACAATCGAGTGCTGGAGGCAGTAAATTTTAACTATATAAATCTCACTTCGATGCCAGAACCTATTAATCTCTGTTCTTGCCGCTCAAACGCCCCCTTCGGCAGTTGATTAGCTTTCGATTTTGTATTTAGCCCCGGTCTTGGGGTAATTACTCCGTTACAGTTCAATGCATATCGCTCTAGACTTTTTGTTTGTTTCCACACAAGTCATTGGGTGCAATTAATTTTTATTTTCCGCCGTTCTCGTAATTTGCTCTGTTGCAACAATTTAATGAAATCTAATTGAGTGTGTGCACTGGGCCGATAAAAATGAAATAACTCTGGACGCTGGGGAGATTCCTCCGACTCATTTGTCACTTGCACTTTCGTCGGGCGGCTGAAGCCGCTCAATTGGAGTCAATAAACGTTCGGCAAATAAGCCAAAGGGGCGGTATCTAAATTAATATCGATTCAACCGAAGATTTACGACTTCGGTAAAGAGTTATACGTACGTTCCAGTTCATAGAGGAAAATACTTATTCCAGCTGGTTAAAACCAGTTCAAGCTCTCTTGATATTCTCAAATTTCGATTCCAGTTGATAAGGCCGAAATAAACCGTACGTATAGAAACATTCCAAATGACTTTGTTTAATAAATATGTATATTTTTGGTTTCACTTTCAATGACTTTGGGTTTCGACTCATAAACCAGTTACAAGTATTCAACGAGCGGCTAATCGATCGATTACGACGATAAAGCTTACAGAACTTGAGAGCAACACTTGTAGCCATTTATCAGACATTCTTAAATAGCAAATAAATACATTACTTAGTGCTAGATTATCAATATGATAGGTACAAACTACAAACAGACGGCAATATCTTTAAGTACACTGGAACACATCTAACTCTTTACAATTGACTTGTAAATATAATAAAGTGCGGAGCAGAACTTGAGTGGTTGGAGTTCTACTTGTCGTCCGTTTGCCCCTCGAAGCTGTGCTCCCGCTTCTTGTGCCATCGCAGGCTGGCAAATTGCGCGAATCGCTTGCCGCACGTGCTGCACTTGTACTTCTTCACCGCCAGATGCAGCTCCGTGTGCTTCTTGAGGTTGCCGTAGGTGGTGAAGGTCTTGCCGCACACCGTGCACAGGTGCTTGCGGATCGCCCAGTGGGAGTTCATGTGGTCCGTGAAGCGGTTCTTCTCGTAGAAGCCTTTCGCGCAGATCGGGCAGTGGAATGTCGACTGGTTGAGATGCCGACGTCGGTGGATGTCGAAGAAGGACCACGTCTTGAAGGACTTGCCGCACAGATCGCAGATGTAGGGCCGCTCGCCGGTGTGAGTGCGCAGATGGATGGCCACCTCCGTGGATGTGGCGAAGCGCTTGTCGCACTGCTCGCAGGCATACGGGAAATCCCTCCGATGCCGTCTAATGTGCACCGTCAGGTTGCAGGGCATCTGAAAGCCCTTCCCGCACAGGGTGCAGATAAACGGCTGGGTGCCATCGTGTCCGGATCGATGCACCTTGTACTGATCGCAGGTCTTGACGAGCTCTGAGCAAATATCGCATCGAAACGGGCCGAGGTTTTGGTCCAGGAACTCGGCCAACTTGGCGTGCAGCAGGGGAACGCTGCTGGAGTCATCGGAGTCGGTGAGTATCTTTCGTTTCTGCGCCGAAAAGTCCTTTCGCAGTTCGAACAAGGTCTTCTCTAGCTGCTCCGTGGAGTAGGCAGTGTGAAAGGTGGTGTTAATCTCATCCAGCATTTGACCCAAAGCTTGCCCACGATAAGCGTTCGAGCGAAAGTCGGGGTGGTCAACATCCCAAAGAGCAGAGTAGTTTCGGTAAATCTCCACAAACTGCAGATGATCCTCGGTATTCTTAAACGATATGGAGCTGGCATCAATGAACTTGGTCTTCTGACTGGTCTCCACCACGCCGACTTTCTGCAACGATTCATTTATTATAACAAGATTTTGAATTGTGGTGAAAGCTGACTACCTTGCTGATTTTGTTGAAGATCTGCTCCTGCAATATGGGTTGGAGAAACTCCATTTCATCGTAGCACCACAACTTGGGCAGGTACAATCCCTTGTGCTTGATCACCATGCGCAGCTCCTTGCGATAGCGCGTCCTTAGCTTCTGAATCTCCTTGTAGCACTCCTCTCCGCTCAGCTCGTAGTTCAGTTCCTCCTGCAACTGTGAAGATATCTCCCTGTAAAGGTCCTTCTTGCAGCACCTTGAGTAATCGTAGTGCTGCGGATTCCACAGGCACTCCAGTCGCTTAAAGGCATCCAGAATGAAGCTGAGAACCTCGTGGTATAACGCTGATTTGCTGCATGATTCTGCATCCGTTTCGCAGGATTTCTCACTCTCGGCGCTCTCATTAGAGATCTGAAAAGTTAAAAGTCTAAATTACTTCCCACTAACAAAAAGAACGGCATTTGATTGATAACTTACCTTGGCCTCCCGTTCAGCTCTTCGGTTTTCAATGACGCCTCTGAGGAAGTGCATTCTGTCGAAATACCACAACCGTGACTTGTACTTTCCACCGAGTGCGTTCAGTTTGCTCAGCTCCCGACGGTATCTGCCCTTTATTTCCTTCAGCACAGCAAAAATCTCCGCTCCGGAGAGCCTTTTGTGGCAGATGGTCTCCAACGGAGCAGCCAGTTCTCCGTAGACACTTCGCTTGGCATTGTACTTATAGTCTGGATGTCGCGGATTCCACAATTTCTCAGCGCGCTCGTACTCGGCGAGCAGAGAACTCACAAATTCACGATTGCGCTCTAGCTCTCGTCGACTTTTCTGGATTGAAAGACAATTTAAAATCATAAACGTTACCATATAAAAATCATGACTCCTTCTATAGGTGGTAGTTTTTGGGTTGATGTTTTATTGCTAAGATATTAACACTTGTAATATGATAGTTAATCAATGTTATATATTTTGCCGAAGCTTGGAACTTGACAATGAAAATTAAAAAAGAAAATTTCGGTCTACTTTAACAAGTCTCTATGTGCTCAAGTAATAAATTCGCAACATTTTTATTTAAAACAGCCGTAAACTCATTTGAGCAGGAATTACAGGAATGAATTAAATTTGTGTTTGACAATGTACACTTCTATCGGTTTTTAAGCAAGTTATGGGATCTCTCATTCGTTAGAGATTTCTAGAGATCGGTTGTGGTTTACTCACCGATTGGAAATCCACGCTGCTCGCAGTGCTGCTCGTGGGTGAGGTGGGCGGAATTGGAGTGGGTGGCGTGGCTGGTGGCGTTAATTCCAGAACGTTCTTCTCCGGCTGAGCACTTGGCACCTCCTGCTCCTCCACCACCACCATATCCACCTCCTCCTCCGGCACTTCATCTTTCGCATTCTCGTTTTCCGCCTGACGAAGCTTGCGCTGCATTGCCTGCATTGGGAAGAACAAATATTTCGCATAAATAAATAAATTTGTAGCATTTGCCACTGGTTGGTTGTGTGTCTCTCAGATAACCAGAACCCAACCGCATGATCTCGCTCCGGGTTTATCGTAGCTCTGGAAAACGTAAACAAACAGAGCTGGTAAACAAAAAGGGAAAGTCTGCACTTCGGCTCCCTCGTTCTCGATACCCGATTCTCGAATATCAGCGGCTATTGGCCTTTGTGTCGTCGTCATTGTTCTTATCGCACTGACTTCTACATTCCATATATATATGGCCCGACTTCTATATTCCCATATAACATACAAATGTATTCCCTGATTCCTCAATGTGTGTTTCCATTTGTTCGCTGTTTTGTTCGTTTCTTATTTTGTTTTGGATTTCGTCTACGAATAGGAGCATTTAAAATACAACCCGCATAACTACTCATTTATCGTATTCGCAATAGATCCACTCGTCTATATCTCCCAAGAAGAATTCCATGAATAATTCAAGGGCAGCTGTCTGGAATTAAATATGCCAGACTTACAAATCTTGGCTGAGTGGTGTTGGAAGTTTTTAAGTTGATCGTCAGCTTAATTTGTGATTCAAGAATGACTAGGATTAAGTTAAAAAGTACAAAACAGAGCTTATTCGCTCTACAAGCAATTTAATATTTAATGTTATGACCATAAGTGCGGTTTGCCAAGACATTTCGTATTTGCAGAGCTGGTGATTAATATTCCCGGAATAAACCCGACCTACCTTCACATACTTTAGAAATGCCGTCGATAAGGTCCCGCAATTCCAGTGCCCTAATTAACAATCCGCACGGTCCAAATAAAAACCGAAACGAAATTCGTTTTCGCATGCAAATGTTTTGTTCTGACAAACACTGCATACGGTATCTAAATAGGATGAGCAGTTCTAACCGGTTCCCAAACAAAATGCGTGGAGACAAACGAAACTTAAAATACCTCACAAAAAAAAAAAAAAAAAAAAAAAAAAAAAAAACAAATTAGTATGCTTATTTGGGTAATTAGTTACTCATGTTGTCAATTCAAAAAAGAAATCTCTGTGATTAATTACTTTCTCAATGGAAATACCTCTTTACATGATTTTACTCATTTTAAATTTACTATTGGAAAGGGTATTTGTAGCATTGGCTTTAATTCGGATTTTTTTTCAAGTATTTATTTTGGCCATAATTGGTAATTGTAGTTGACGCCTGATTGTCTTGAAATTGAGTATCCAGTGGCCACCACAACTGTCGATATTTCAGCCCGTTAATATATTCCACAATGCATTAGTATTGTATTATACCAACCACAAAACGTCGATAACGTTAATGGTCCTAGATAAAGGGAAATGTGAACCTCCGCATTAGGAGTTATTGTTTTTCCGTAGTTAATGTTTTATTAATTGTACTTGCACTTATTGATCCAGGTGTCCCAGAATTCTAAATGATTCGTTTGCCTTCAAATGTAATTGCCTTTGAAGCCGTTTCATGAACTACGTACTACTTGAATAGAAGAGTAATCTAACCCATTCCCATTCCCTGACAAAAAAAAAACTACAGCTGTGCCCCCAATATTCCCTGTTGATCAATGAAAAAGGGTTAATGGCCCAAAAGGCAGTTGATTAATCGGATAGCATTACAACAGACACCATCCACCAATCATTCAACCATCGAACAGGGCCCTGACCTTTCGCGAATCCAGTGAAAGCTAACACCACTTTTCCGAGCTAATTGAATAACTGAAAACTGCAGAAGGGAAAATACAGGGAAAAAAGCACGAGCCTTGGCCCCAATTAAAAATGCAATTTCAAACGTCGAAATGAAAGTTGCGCCCTTTCTGGTAAAGCGAGCGAAAACATTTTCATTTCGAGCGAGTGGAGCGTCAACGGGGGTCACACCCACTCGAGGCAAGAGCCCCAAACCACTCGAGGTCCTGCGGAAAGGTGAGCACAGTAAACCCATTAAAGCCAGCACCGCTCCCTGCTGACCCTGCAAATCCTTGACGTCGCTGTCTGCCTGGCAACAGGAAATAATTCCATTTCGAGCTGCAATGCAATGCACTGCACTGCCATACACACCCACATGCGTTCTGTTCTAGTCCATATCGAATGGTGCAAATGGTTGAACAGCTGTTCTATATCATATTTTTTCATTTGTACCCTTGGTATTTTAATGGCTAGGGTGTGCGGGGGGTATACTCAATACTCATACTTCATGTATGCTATAACGTTGATTGCTATTACTGAATTAAGTCAGCGAAATTAATTATATTATTTCAAATAACCCTTTCTTTTAAAATAAAATTCTAAAAATCTTTACAATTTTATAAAAATCAGGTTGAAAGAGAAACAACTCTGAATAATAATGATTTATTGAATCTACTTTTATAAAACAAAGTAAACATTATTTAAATAGGGCAAGTTATTGCCTCTTAGCACTAATATTTGGTAAATGTTTATGATCGATAAAAGTATGGTTAGTCATTCCAAAAAGAGTTACACTTTGCATAGCCTTCCAGGGAATTCTAGTTCTCGTTTCCACTGTTTTACTTTTTTTTTTTTCCTATTACTTTTTTCAAATATTGGTGCAACAAAAGACTCAGCAATTTGTCGAGCGGAGTGGAGCAAACAAAGGCTCGGCTAACTTTGACTGGCTGACCAAAGAAAGTTAGTTTAACCTGCCCAGTCTGGACAGTTGAGTTGGCCCTAGACGCCCGCGAAATGTGGGGTGTGGCTGGTCGACAGCCCGATTGCCCACCCCCCATGTATTTCACCGTACTTCGTTCGAGCCCGTCCGGAATTCTCACTGGACTGCGTCACAGCTTGTGTTTACCGAACACGCAATTGAAATAATTGATCCAGTTAACAAAATTGCATAGAAATTCAATAAACAACAACAACAGCGCACCATATTCCGGGGTGTAGTTCTCTCGATGAACATTGAAACCCGATCGCAGAGCAATCTTATTGAGTTATTTGAGTGCTTTCCCCCTTTATGTTTATTTATAAATTGTCCAATCGAAGGGGGTAGAAACTCGTTAGAACTGTCAGAGTCTTGAAAGGCGAGCTGAAGAACAGAATATTGGAGAGCAGAGGGATCATTGAAGCCATAAACAAATATCTAACCGCAGAATGGAATTGTAGGAGTTCAATTCGATTTGCTGGCACCAAAGAACTTTCTTGGACCAATTTATAATGCTTTTCTTGGGGATTTAATTTCTTTGTTCTTTCTAGTAGGTCTCTCTTTTATTGAGTCAGAAGTGCATTTAAAGAAAATCACTACAAAATTAAAAGAGTATCTGAACTTAATATACTTTCTTTCTGTAAAGATATATGTATGAACAACATGCAACTAACCATTTGTTCTTCGTTAACCAATTTATTTTTGTTTCGCAAAATAAACGAAGGATATGGCTTGTACATTTTCAGATAATCTTGCCTAGTTTCTTTTTAATAATAAATAAATTGCACGACACCATAAATATTTCGCTTCTTCGATTAGCCGCACTTGCACTGCGGTCTATTTCAAAGTTGGGAATCCGTGGGTCAGACAATGCCAGTCTAGACCAATTCTGGGTGCGAGCAACTGCGTCATCTTGCTCTTCAATTAAAAGCTATTGTTTATTGCATTTGTCACCAGGCAAAAAAATATGCGGGCAGCGCCAATCAAAAGTTTCTTTGATGATGATGCGAGAGATGCTTCAAATTAATTAATAAAAACTATTATTTTGATACATTGTCATTGTGGCATGGTGATTATCGGATCTTTTCCTTGCGAGTCTCAATTAGAAAGGGAATGCGAAACATGTAGCTTAGGAAGTTTAATGGGGGAAAGGGGACTGGTTGATGCGCAAATAAAAGATTCATGGGAAAGCCCATTAATACACCATTTAATACCATTGAAAGGCTTTTGGCCTCAAATGGTGTCAGTGCTTGTAAATACGGCCATGGTTGATTGCGAGTTTTCGGTTCTGTTTTCCCCTTGCTCTGTTTGATTTGCGGCCCAAGGGAGGTATTTAATTGATCGAACGAACAGAGGCTTTCGGCAAGCGTCTTGTTTTCCATATAGGTTTAGGCCCAAAGCCGCGTTCCCATTTTTGTATGCTATATAAAATTATACCCCCGCAAGCCATATGACAACGAACAAAGGCAAAAACGGCGACATGCAAAATCCGGGAAAACACGAGACTCAAACGTAATAAAGCCAACGTGAGCTAATAAATTATGAAGAATATTTCAGGTTTTTTTCACGCAACCCGTTTCGTTTGCTTTTATGGCCGAGCATAAAACTCGTCCACGCCCTGATGGAAGCCCCCCGAAGCCGTCGGGAAATAAACCGATAGGAAACCTTATAGAGAACGCGCACAGGAACCGGGAAGCAAACAAAGGGAAAGCCAGATTCAAAGATAATACGGGGGCATTAAGTGCAATCAATTTCTGACAAAATAAATGCGCTCGCCCATGTAAAACTTTAAACAAATAACTTTTTTATTCCGCGTCAGTCACAAGGCTGCATTAATTAAATTAGACCGACTATAAAACCTCCTCAACTGATCGATCGTGGCCGACTTGCGGGTGGAAATCCTCAAAAGACCCCGTCCAGACTAAATGTTTAGTTAAACTTGTTAATTATTTAATAGGCATGGATGTGCTCGATAAAAACTGAAGCGGTGGCTGTCAACACGTCCTCGTTTTCTGTTTGAACATGATTAACGTGCACATAAATCGAACCTTCCCGAAGATTTGAAACGCTGAAAGCAAATTATCGCCTGGGAAGATAATAAACGGAACGCATTGATACGACTTAAGATTAGATTAGGGGCGATGATATATGGGACTTTTTTCTCAATGCACTCCCAGCTCTGATTTAATGGATTAATGATGGTTTACTTGGGGTACAAGCTTTTGATTTGATAGGGATACAATCCCAAACAAACAACTAATCGATGATAATAACTTCTCAGATTTGCTGTATTCCTAGAGAAGTTTACTGGAATGTTTTCGTAAATTTAATGGCATGTTACTTGGCATTATTCAGTAGCCATTCCAGTCAAATCGTTGGTCAACTATTGTTTCCATTCGTCACTTTATTTGGACAATGATTTATGGGCCGAGCAGGTTTTTATGGCAGGTGCTCTTAAAATTCCAATTTACAAGTGTTTAAATGAACATTAAAACCTCCTTAGTTAAGTCCCGTCGCGCTTTCTTATCTCTAAGCCATTTTCAATAGCCGGCAAATAACGACAAAAATCTAAAATTATTTTATTACCCCAACGGCGATATGGGCGGTGGGCTGGAATGATAGTGATGGAGGGGGAGGAGGGCTAAGTGGGTTGTCTGGGTCGCGCGACGACTTCCACGATCGATCGATTGATCGGACATATCTTAAATTACTTAAAGTGGCGAGAGCAGCGCGTCACCGACATTGTTTATGGATATAAATCATAATGGGCACAACACTTACAAGTGGTTGGAACAGGAAAGCAACGCAATTGCCAAGATTTCGATTTATGTGTGACTGCGAATATCGTAAATCAGTAAACACGTACAAATCCTACATTATTTTCACCGTTTAACCAATTACACATGGCCCACTGTGGCTAGCGTCGTCTGCGAATGCTTACAAAATCGAAGCTTAGATAATATTCCCCCTATTTGTTTACCTATTTGGGGTCTAGATAAAGAGCATGTCGGCCGACAAGCTTGCCCAATGCTGATAATAGCAATGCCGAAAAAACAACGAAATCACCAATAATTTCTATTGCAAGTGTCGTGTACGCAGCCTACGGGCAAATAGAAAATGATTATTTATCAGCATTTCAATTTCTATTTCCGAGAGTACAGCTCAATGCCCGGATATCTAAGGAGCGATAATAATAAAAACATTCTAACGGTCTGCCCCACGTAAAAACCACTGTTTGCTTTATTTTTTTATCTGTGCGATGATGACAACAAATGCATCCAGAGCACTCAGACATGCGAGTATTTATTCGTACTATTTTCCTTTAATTATCATTGAATTAGCTCATGTGTGAATATATTATTTATTGGCATTTACATTGCGTCAACGGATCTGTCCTATTTTTGGCCAAAAGAAAACCAAAGAAACCGCGTCACGTTAAATTATTGGAGAACTCGCGTATTTTCCATCTTTATTATGAAGCTTTTAAAGCTGATTATCACCTAAAACATTGTAGTGATCACCTTAGTACATAGAAATAGTCTGAAGTGCCTGTCAAAGCACAGGAACCAATTTAACTTATTGACATTTGAAGTACTTTTTTTTGGCTGTTGTACAAAAAAAATAATAAATTCTTCATACTAGCTTTTAAAAGTGAAATGTTGTTTCCATATGCAATGGCAATGTTTGCTCTTAACCGACGTAATTTGAATTCAGAAATTATTAAAAATGTAGGTTTCTTGGAATTTCTAGAAAAATATACCCCAGTTTGTGACAGAATCCACAAGTTTTGTATCTCCCTCGTTGACATAAATAATCAGTTTAATTACCATTTAATAGCCATTTATTTTTAAAAACCGTCCACGGAGCAAAGGCCTCCGCCAAACAAAGAAAATATGACGGGCAGTTTTCCAAAAACACCCAATGTTTGTGTCCCAAATATCGAGTGTTTTTCAGCCTCAATTGCTATATGTATATTTTTTTTTTTTAGCACATAAATCGCTTCGAACGTACAACAAAAGATACGGTTGTTTTTTTTCCCGACCCAGACATTTTCATGTCCACAAAAAAAATGGAGCAAAACAAAAGTGAAAACCTGAAGAAAAAGCTGAAAAATTGCGTTGCTTTGGAAAACAACAAAAATCATTGAAAATAGCAAGGGAGCTGGCAGAATGACAAACTGACAGACTGGCGAACTGACAAACCAGCCCCTCCAAAATAAATAAAGAACAAATATGTAAAAAAAAAAAAAGCCCACGGACGGCAAACGGGACTTAAAAAGGGGAAGACAAGAACAAAAGAGAAGCATGAGCGCGCAAAATGTGCGACACACTTTTGCTCAATATTTTGTGTTGTGTGCCATTGCGCCGTTATTTTGAAGGTCAAGTGACCAGGGAAACCTTCTCCGGAACTAGCTGCGCCCACCACCCCTCTGCAAACCCGCCCCTGCCCTTCTGACAGCAACGGAAAGCCGTTTTGCATTACAAAATCGCATGAAAAAAGGGGAAAGTAAAACTTAAGACAGTGAGAAACCGGTATGGGAAACATGAATAAGCCATATTTTATGTGTGAAAAATATAAAAAACTATAAGTAATCCCCGATGGCTTTAAACGTATTATATAGATAAAAAATATGAATTTGAGACCGCATATGTATGTATGTTTGTCCACCGTAAAAGCTATGCGCTATCAGGCGTTAATGAGAGGATAAATTAGGAGATAAGCCCAAAGATATTATTGGTAGGATTACAACAAATACACATATATTTTTTTTTTTAATTCCAAATTTATCAACAAAAGTTAGTTGATGTTGGTGTGTTAAATATTTGTTCGTCATATGTTTCTTATAAAAGCAAAAACGTATCTAGTTTTACTTTTAACATATTTAGTTGCTATTTCTGTAACGAAATTTCTGAAGACCCAAGCGTCATTTATTACCCGACTGTAATTTCCGGCAGCGAGTGCCCACTGTGGCCGTGGCTGAAAATGGGCAGCGGGTGATTAACTTACCACGCGTCGTGTCTCATACCGCGGGAGTGGAGTTGAAACCGGTGGTGGTGGCGGTGGGGCCACTGGAGTGGGTGGAGTCATCGCCACCACTTCGTGCACTACCCCAAAGGGATCCAAGTCGAAGGACTGCAGACAGTTCCCCTGCAGTTCGTCGCTCGAAATGTCCGCAGAAGGAGGCGGCGAGGGTGGCAATGGATTTTCTACCACATATACCAAATCTATTTCTGGACTTTCGGCTGGCGTTATATGCAGTGCGGGAGTCGGCGGAACAAAATTCATTAGCTGGAGGTCCATGTCCGCCGGCCAGCTGGATTTCTTTGGCTCTTCCGACGCGTAAATTTCCGGGCAATCCAGCTCCATTATGACCAGATCGGTTTCGCTCTGCTGCTGGGCTCTCTCCTCCCCGGAATCGTAGCGCCGCCGCATGTCCTGGGTGTGCTGCATCCGGATGTGGTCCATGAACACGGAGAACTGCAGGCATATCGCCGGACAAAAGGCGCAATTAAAGCCAAAACTCTGGACGTCCGGCGAAGCGGTGATTTCCCCGCACTTGCGGAAGAAAGCGTAATCCTCCAGCTGCCAATTCGAGCACTGCGACTCCTGCAGCTGCAACATGGTTGCTTTTTCTCTGGACCGACCCCTCACCCGAAGCTTTGAATTTTCGCTATTTTTTGGCGCACTCGCGACGAAGGAACTGCCGCCAAACCGAAACGAGACGCAGAGCTTTCCGATTCGACCTGCGATCCAAACAACCGGCAAATGCAAAGTGCAATGTGACCGGGCGGGCGCTTTGAGTTATACAGTCGGCGGGTGTCAGTGTGGCCAACGCGCAGGACTGCTGAATACCGTTCTGACAAAGCTTCCGATAGTGCAATAAATTTAAAATTCCGTATTACATTTTAAAATAATTGAAGCATCCATCAAAATCAGCCTAAATTTTGTAAAACTATTAACTTGTAAACATATCAAATTTATAAATTTCCGTAAATTAAACAAAATTTGAACTAAATTATTTTATGGGTACATTGCCGCAAGTTATCTAAGCCGTACGTTAACTAAAAAGTTACAGTTCCATTTGTAGTTCCAATAATTGCACGGGGAAATGCGGAAATTTATAACATTAAATTTATCAATAAATTAATTTAAAACGAAAGTATACATTTTATTCATCAAATTTGATTTTGTTTAATTTTTAGTTTGTAAAATATTGGATGTCCTTCCATTTGGTTCGAGTCTATGATTCTCAAATGGCTTGTGTATCAACAGCACACAAACCATCCCTTGGTATTTTATGGTATTTTTCAAGTTCCCATGGCCTATTCGAAGAGTACAGTTTCGGTCACGCTGAGCGACGAATATTTCCTAGGCAAGCGGGCGGTTAAATAGCAAAATAGCTGTAAATGTTTAAGATTGTTCGTTTTTAGTTAAATACCTAACGACACACCATGGGATTTGTGCTGTCCAAGTTTCGGGTGCGTATATGCGATGGCCTTTTCCATCCGCAGCTTCCTGTTTTGCCGAGTGCAGATATACTAAGATACCCAAAAATTGTGTCGTCAAACCACGAATCTAATTATAGAAGGAAAAGTCTACGGAGGCGGTGTTGGAGGGGCTGCAGACGCAGATCCAGGCGTTGGAGAAGTACATGATCAACACGGAGGAGCGGAGGCGGCGGTTCGTGACCAACTTTGTGGGCTTCACCATTGGCGCCTATATCGTGGGCTTCGGACTATGGTACTTCTTCTATTTTCCCCCGACGGTCCAGGAGTGCTTCATGTACCTGGTTCCACTTCTCCTTTTTCCGTTCGTGTGAGTACCTACTTATTCCTTGATATGTGCATCCGGTTTTCGGTCTGACCCTGGTCTTCCCCGGCATCTGTAGCATTATCTTTCTGCGGCGGCTGTTTACGTGGTACTTTCAACGCAAGCTCAACAAAAATGGCGATAAGCTGACTCGTCTGAAGGAAGACAAGCGCAAGATATTGGAGCAGGTCATGGACAAAGAGACATATAAGGTGGGTCTACAAAACTCATGAAGGTCCTTTTAGGATTTTGTGCAAGTGCTAGTCAAGACTAGTTATCCGGATATTAGAACAATGATCTGGTAAAAATATCTCAAAACCTTTCTTCGAATAGCTGAGCATATATCTAAATTTTTCAGTTTTAATTTTTAAACAAATTTCAGAAACTCTGTTTTCATTTATATGTGCGCTAAATTAACTGGATATCACCTCCCGCATTAAAATGTACAAACTAGTATCTCTTAGATAAGCCAATGCACCTTCTGAAGACAAAGTTTATATAAAAATAAATATTAATTCATTGCACCCCGCAGGTGGCAGTGAATCTCCTGGAGCGTTTTGGCGATAAGAAGCAGCTCCGTATCAGCGGTCTGCATTCCGGATCGGCGCCCAACAGCTCGATGGTGGAGCGTACTCCTCAACCGGCTGCCCGGACTGCATCGACCGGCGGACAGCAGCAGCAGCAACGATCGCTGACTCCGTACACCAGTGTCTACCGCAACCATAACAACAACAACAGCACTTCGCTAAATAGCAGCGTCATCAGCTCACATTCACTGGCACCGGTGACGTCAGCATCGCCGCAGTTGCGAGCTGTTCAAGAATTGCGTCGGCGGTCGCCATTTCCCATCGTCGATGATCGATCACGTAGTGCCCTGGATCGCATCGTGGACTTCATCGTGGGCGACAGTCCAAAGGATCGATTTGGCATGATCTGCAAGGCGTGTCACGCCCACAACGGTGGGCTATGATCACTATTAAATCAGAATCATTTTGCACATAGAAGCTGAGAAACCGGTTTAGCATTCATTGCTATTTTGGATCTTATCCAAAATACTTCCACAGAACTCACGAAAATCTTATTTAATGTCATGTAAAAACCAGTTTTTTCAATGCAGATCTATTTTTGCATTTGTGTCTCAAAATGCATGGTTTTAGTCTTAATAATTTTCACCCTGTGGAAAAGCTATATTTTATTTTAATAATATTGTAGTGGCTATGTGCATTGTGTATGAAACTCTTCTATAACAATTATTACTTCTTGTAATGCAACAATTTCAAACTTTTTTCTAATGCTTAATAAAATACTTATTTTTTATTGCAGGAATGCTGCCCAAGGAGGAATACGAGTACACTACGTTCAGGTGTGCGTTCTGCAATGTACTTAACCCGGCAAGAAAGAAGCGACCCGTGGCTCCTCGCCTCTCCCTGGATGCACCTTCCGAAACCGCTACAAAGCGAAACGACAGCTCAGACAGTGAATCATCCGATGACGACTCTGGTACTTATTTAATCAAAAAGGGGAAACGCAATATGAAGCCATGTTATAGGAATGCTAAATGTTTGTTAATTTGTCAAGTTATTAACAGATATACAAAAAAATGCAGCCCGTTTTTTAAAATTTCAATAGTTTATTCTAAAATATTCTTTTAATCGACTACAACTGTAGTTCTGTTTTAATTATGATTATTCAAACAGTTTGAGGTTGTTATACTTGACTAATTATGACACTAAACTACTCTGCTATCAGCTAATTGCGTCAATCAATTATGTACATTCATTTAAACCGCTTTAAGTCTCAGAAGCAACGATACATTTATCTGAATTCAAACGCACTTAATGTGCTTCCCCCATTGTATTAGTAATAGTACGTAATAGTGACATCACCCATTATTTTTTCAGATAAGGAGCAACCCGTACGAAGAGCCCTGCTGCAGGAAGTGCCATCGAAGGAGGCTGATATGGATGCCACCACCGCAACGGAAGACTTGGCAATGGAGACTGAGACACCCGAGACTGGATCTGCTGCCGCCGAGATCAGCAAAGCTGAGGTGGCAGCCAGCTCCTGAGGGCACACCACATCGATATTCACCTTTTAGGCGCCAGTCAAGCAAAATTCTTGGATTATTTGCTTATTAGTTTACTTATTTAACTTCTTATTGGTAAGCAAATTTTATGAGAATCATCTGTTATCATCTGAATTTATTGTCGAAGAATGAATACATTGAATGGAAAACGTAAGTCTTCGTTCGAGTACCCCAACTTTCTTTGGGTCAGACACCTTGTGGTCGCCCGAGGTGTGGGCGGCTCCACTCCCACAACTGTCAGCATAGAAGGAAATTGATAATTAAAAACTAGACAAAATAAGGCGACAACTAATGGCATAATAATTTAAAGCACGCCGCGGCGTGTGACAAAAAAGGCAAACCCGACAACGATGGCGATATCACTTGGCCAGCAGCGATACTTACTTACAAGCGCGAGAACACACACATGCGATCGACTATGCGACTCCAGACTAGCACTGCATTATGCGAACGGTCAACAATTTCAATTTCGCTGGCTTTTATTTTGCTTTATTCTGTTTTTCCGGGCCATTGATCAAGGCTAACGAGATCGATCGGCTGGCTGGCTGGCTGTCCGCCTGGCAATCTGGTGGTGCAGCAACGTAACATAACGCATTAGCCGGCCAACACCAGCGCCCACCTACACATGAAAAAATGCCCAAATTTGGTAAAACAATTACCTTTTATTTAGATAACCAGCGAACAACTTAAAAATTTGTTTTCGTAAATGAAAAGTACTTAATACTTTGTGTAATTTGTTTTTCCCTTAGTTTAAGGAACAGAAATTTTGTCTGAAGCGATAATGCTTTTCTCATTTGACAGATAGGTTTATTGCCCCCGACAAAATGATCATTATTAATCAGTTTGTATAATCTTTAGCTCTGAAATGTAAATAAACGATGTTATTGGACAACCAATAAAAATGTGTAATACTTAATTGATTGGAAAGTAATTTAGAATTGGTTTTGAAACTATTAGGATCATCAAACAATTTAAAGGACATACATATCTGTGCTACCTTTCAAATATTTATGTATTTTATAATGAAATATATGATCTATTGTTTTCCTTCTGCAATTGTGCAACTAAATAATTCATTTGCAACAAAGTTGTTTAAAAGTTTTGTAAGGTATTGTGGTCATGTTTTTTCTGTGTATAGCAGTGATAGTGGTGGAGCGGAGGGGCAGGGATTGGATTGTGTGGGGATTGGACGGTGCCGCGCCCGCGCAAATTCCTGCCAATGGCTGGCGGCAAGCACAAATTATAAGAATTAAACTAAATCTGTTACACCGTTGCCAACAATTGGGCACGTCTGTCCCCCAATATAACATGTTCATATGCGAGTGTGTAGCCATGTAAGTCCGCTCGTCGTGTGCCGACTGCCAACTGCCAACTGGCGACCCGCGGGCACTGGGCGCTGCCTGATTAGCTCATAATTTGTGTGGCGGTGCGATTTTCGCTCTTTTCCACGTAATTGAATTTCCCAACTCAGCCTGCCGGCCCAGGAAGTCGTCGATCGCTAGCTGCTGCTGGTGCGTAAGGCGGTCTCCAGTTCAGTTTCACTGGCACTGGCACTGCGTGGTGCGAATGAGTGAACGGCCGTCAACCTATAACGGGTTATCGGAAATAGAACTGCCAGTGGAAAGATCTAAAACTAGGGTTGCACTGCTATCGATTCTAAGTTGTACCTCGAATATTCTTAGTCCCCAATTTATACCCTTAAAACTCTATTTTTATAAATAAATAAATCGATTTGTAGGTATAGTATTTACTACTATTATTCAAGCATTTTATCACCAAAATTATAAAATCTTTGTATGTGTTGGAAAAAATATGTGAATGATGTGAAGTATGTTACATATGTTGAAGAACTAATTATAAATATTTTAAAATGGTAAATCGCTGTAAGTGGTCAAAATGTGTTTTTACCAACAGGATATAGGAGCAGAATTATAATTGTTTATATTATATTTATATCTTATCCATACAAAATTGGCTTATGTAAAATTAAGTGGCAGAACGTCGCAGGAGTATTGGATCCCTAATTCTAAAAATTTAGATTACATTTAGAATTGAAATTAGATTGAATACATATCGCCCAGCCCTCGAACCTAGAAGTGAACCTCGGGCCGACTCCGCCCCTCGAGTGCTGTGCATTGAGATCTAGTGCAAGTTCGCTGCACCGAAACCCGTTTGCAATGACTCGGACCTCCGCTGCCTTCCGGGCAGACCGCGCGACATGTGGCAGTGGCATGCCAAGGCGATGGTGGAACCAATGGCAGAACCGATTTCGACCTGTGCCTCTTACACGATCCGAATCCGAATCCGAATCCGAATCGGAGTAAAGTGATTCACGAACTGATCCCCAAACATTCTGGGCTGGCAAATGCGGATCGAAAATTGGCCAAACGCCAACGCGGCTTTGTCAAAAATACTCAAGCAGACAATATACAAAACTGGAGCCCGGAGATTTCTTTTTTTGTATTTTTTTTTTTTTTTGTGGCCAAAATGCAAGTTGGGGGCTTAGTTCATTGCTAATGACGGCATGTCGGTAACTCGATATAAGTGCACAGTCGTATGTGTTTGCATAGTTGGGTGTTTAAGCATATTACCCACCCGTATATACACATATAAGTCTGTCCGTCGGCCCCGTTCGATTTATTTGTCCGCGCTCCACAACAAAGACTCATAATAATCTGTTGGGCCAATCAAGTAAAATATGCGCGAGATCAGTCAACTACAAAAACAAAAGCAAAAGTAAAGCAAAGTAAGCAACTGCAGCAGCAATAGCAACAACAGCAGCAACAACAACAACAACAACAATAGTTACTACAACAGCAGTGGTAAGGCAATAGCAACAACTACGGCGGCAGCAGCAATGAAAGTGAAACCGAGTCTGGCCGAGAGACCTGGCTGAGATTGAGACCCGGCCAAGAGTCGGTTCTAGCCAGCATCAGCTATATAAGCTTGATGGCCGGGCTCGGCAGCAGCAGTGCAGCGCTGACCAGGAACCCAATTGGAAGTTTGAGCTACGACTTCATAGTCCAATTTGGAAAAGGATTACCATAACCCCCGAACGCACCAGCACCAACTTCAGCAACACCCACCCACACAACATAGCCAACATGTTCTTCAAATTGGTGAGTGCCCTTTGATCCAGGCTCCGATCAAGGCTGCCCTCTAAAATTAGTTTCTTCCTTCCGAAAAATTATTAAAGCAATCATAATTCTCTAATTTTACTGTTACATAACAGACTCTTAAAACTTTGCAAATATAAACTAAAACTTATCTTCTTATTAAAATAAAAAAATTAGCAAAGCCTAATTACATAATTTCAATTTTGTAACAATTTTTTTTTTCCAAGAAATATTATTAATTTCGCTTTTAACTTTTCATATTTATTTAACTAAAATAGAGAACATTTGTATTTGTAAAGTATTTTAGAAAACCATTTAAACATAAAAACTAAACTTAAAATTTTTCCGATTTTATTAAAATGTTTATTTTAAATCTAGTAAAGCAATTTTTTTGTCAAGAAATTAAATTTTTTACCCAGTTTTGAGGCAAAGAAAAAATTTGGAAAAATAATTTTCATATTTTTGGTTTTGATTTGATTTTAAGAACTATTTTGATTTGTAAAGAAACAATCTAATTTATTTTTTACTTTCAGCTTTTCGCTACCTTCGTGGTTCTGGCGGTGGCGAAGCCGCAGCACCAACCTGCTGCCCAGTATCCGGCTGGCGTGAATCCCCAGGACTGCCCCAACTTCCCCATCTGTGATAATGCCCGCCTGCACAATCCCACACCCCAGTGGGGAGCCCCGCAGCCGCAGTGGAACCCGCAGCCGCAGCCACAGTGGAACCCCCAACCGCAGTGGCAGCAGCCTCAGCAGCAATGGAACCCCCAGCCACAGCCCCAGTGGCAGCCCCAGCCTTCGTGGAATGCGGCTCCTGCTCCTTCCGCCGGTGGCGACAAGTACCCGGCGGGCATCAACCCGCAGACCTGCCCCAACTATCCGTACTGCGACGTGAACGCCGGACACGCCGGTGCCCCGGTGGCTGCTCCCCCGCTGCCCGGATGGACGGAGCGCCTCTATCCCGCCGGAGTCTCGCCGCACCAGTGCCCCAACTTCCCGTACTGCAACTAGGCTTCCTCCAGCCTCCTCTAACACTTCGCCTATCCCCAGTTCTCAATTAGTGGACATTAATTTGAAATTCTTTGTTGTTGGCGCCGAAATAAATGCAAAATGTTGGTCAAAGAAATACGTCTTTGTGTGAATGGAAAGTTTGAACGGGGTTGATAATTAATTGAAGGGAAATAGAAAGGGTGCCTTCATTGTCTTCCCGATATAAAGAATTAAAATCAATTATCAATTATCAATTATCAAATTATCAAGTCAAAAATTCAAAAACGCACAAGGAAAAGAAACAGTAAGCTATAAAAAATTAGTTTACTGGAAATTCTTGTTTTTAAATTTAAAGGTCAATTTAGGACAACTTTGGAATTTTGTTTAATTTGTTAGTAAACATATTCTGCTAAAAGTCAACGAAGAACAGGACTCTATACTAGGAGGAAAGTCCCTAAAACATTGCACAGCTTGAAAAAAAATAAATTTTGCGAAGATCTCTCTAAAATAAATAAATTGCAATGCCAATTTTTATTGAAAATAAAAGGACACCACCCTAAAAAACCATTTATTATTTGATTAAAAATACCGAAGGTATAGGACCAGTTTGAAAGTGTGGTGAATAAGGAATTGCCGCTCTCATGCCCCGAGAATGTGCCCTGCCACGCCCCTGAAATGCAGCATTACGTGGGCAAGGAGCGGAGTGGCTGGACCGGATCGGATCGGACAGAGTCGGGTCGGGTCGGTCCAGCTGGGAAGGGAGTGGAGCGGACTGGTGGTCGACCTCAGTCGGAGCTGGTCAAGTGAGTGCTTTGTGAAAGTCGTTCTTGCAAAACTTCGGCTTAATTGCCGCCTCCGGGAGGCAAGCCCAAGGTCAAGTGCAACTGCAAATTACACAGTCTTGCAATGGGATTAACTAATGGAGCGATCGAAACTATCACATTCCCGACCAATTTACCTGACCAGTGCGTGCAATAGTTTCGTTTATCTATAATTAATGTGTCTTTGCCCCATTTTCGGGGTGCTGTTACCTATAATTGGCTGTTTCTTAACCAAGTCAAAATAAATAAGCAATTCATGAAAGTAGATTTGGGAAATATTCCATTTCCAACAGAAAACCAATTAAACTAGAAAACTTTAAACCAAATCAAACAGTTAAGTTTTTTGTAACTACAAATAGACAAATTCAATGATGGTGTTTAGTTGAAAGTAACAGTTAGACACCACAAAAATATTTTCTGTGTATTTACTTTGTTGAAAAAAAGGTGGTATTGACAAAACTGAGTGCTTCTAGAACTATAGAACTTGTTTAGAATACTCTTAGATATTTTATAAAATCTCACTAATATCCCACTGCTAATAGATAGGTACCAGTTCATAATTATTGGCGGACTCAACGCCTTTGATTTAATATAAAAGAGTAAGCTCAATAAAACTATTTTTTTTTTCAAGTTTTGGATAGCAGTGTAAATATTACTCTTCATTTGGATTTTATAAAATATCCCTTTATTATTATTCCTTTGAGCAGTTATATCTATAATATTAATTAAAATTCAGTAGTTTTATGTGTACAGTCGAATTGTGCTTTTATTTACATTCATTAACTTAGGCATTGTACAATATTTACAGGCCGCTTTGCATTGGACTGGATGAGTGGGTGGGTTGACAGTGGTGCAGGCCAACAGGTGCCTTACAGCCAGCCGTGTCCGTGGTGGCTGGAGCTCCAGCCGTGGTGGTCGTGGTGGTCGTCGAAGACGTGGTGGATGGGCACCTCCTCGTGGTGGACGTGGTGGACGGGCACGGGGATCTCCTCGTGGTGGACGTGGTGCACTGGCACCTCCTTGTAGATGGGAACGGGCACATGCTTCACCACCGGAACGTGCACCTTCTGCACGTGGTGGTGGTGCACCGTGTGCACCTTGTACGGCACGTGGATGGTGTGGTGCTCGCTGCGGATCGAAAGTGAAATCGGTCAGAGATTGGCAGGCGTATAGACGTATAGCCGTCGTATATTAGCTAATCAGTTGCTTGAACCCTGCGTCTTGGCAGCCAATCGGAATTGGCAATTAGTCCGCACAATTATGCGCGCATTACGCTGAATTAAATGCCAAGCGCAGCCTGTGAAATTCCTAAGTCGCGATCGAAGCCAAGATCGGCTAAGTTCAATGGTAGCGCGATATATATTGAGTAAAAGCGGCGATTGGAGCGGGGCGCTCTAAGTGCTACAAGCGTTTTGATTGCTCAATTCGATCGCAATCGGACACATATTTTATATAGCCACGGAGTCGCAGCGTTTAAAAAGCCATACGAACGCTCGTTAGCTTAGCATAAAGCGGGAAATGGGTATTTTTATCGATTCGCTCGGGTTATTTATGGATCGGTTCAGGTGCAGATCGGCCGGAGATATGTGTACTTACTGTTTGCCAAAGAAGCCGGGACTGGGGGCGCAGTAGGCCACGGCGAAGAGGGCGACGAAGATCTGAAAGGGGATAAGGAAGTGTTTGATTCCAATTTGGGAGTGCAGAATAATTGTATAGACGAAAATAATCAGCATAATTAATTTAAATGTGGCGCAAGACAGATAATTGTTCCTAATCGTCATGGAAAAACTGTGTGATCAATTTTATAGGCACGATTTAAAACTGTGTGATTAATTGTTAAGTCATGGTATACAAAAAAATCACTGAGGTTAACCGTATCGAAAAGTAAATAAAAGCGGTTGTAAGCGAGGTTCTAGTCTACAGATAAAAAAAGTAACATTTAAATGAAACTGGAGTATAGTAAATTAATAATAATGCGTCTAATTAAATGATGAATGAAAAATATCGCTCATCAAGCGGCATACAATAAACCAAATTTCATAACAATTTTAAAAGCTACTGAAACCTATATTCTGTTCTATATCCTAGTGTGAGAGTAACAAATCTTGAAAATATAAAACCAGGATCGTTTTTAAACCATGCACTTCGTTGGTAAATGTTACAAGATACAAGATGTATAAACTATATCTCTTGAATACTGAATTTTTATCATATTAGATTTGTTTTTTGCAGTCTTTTAATTTGTATATTTTTAAAATGGATATTTTTCATTGTTTTATTTCGCGACAGTTCACTTCGATGTAATCCTTTTGGGCGCCGAATGGAGTATTTTTGGTTTTCAACACTTTTCGGACGGATATCCTTGTCGCACTTACGAATGCTTTCAGGGCGGACATTGTTGACTGGCTGAGCTGAACTCTTCTGCACGAAAGCGATACGATAACCGGAGCACTGTCAGGTGGTGACTGATAACCACAGGCGGCGACTCATCCGTTTTATACCCGGCGCCAATAGCGGTTTTGTTGTTGCCAAAAGCCGACTGCGCTGCACGAGAAAGACGTGACGTTGGTGCAGCGGCAGCAACCACAGCGGAGTACAACAGCAGCAACACCAGTGAGGTAAAGCAGCAACATCGGCGAAAAGCAACAGCAACATTGGCAACAGAAATAGCTACAGTAATAGCAACAGCAACGCGACAATAAGCATAACAGTGGACCGACGACTGTGGGCCATGTTAGCAGGTATTGCCTCTTGTTGACTTCTGTTTACGGGGGTTAAGACCCACAAATTGGTGGAAAGGGGGAGAGGATGGGGTAGGGAAAGGGGAAGGGGGGCTTGGGAGCGGTCCATGCTTCAGTTGTCCACAGAGGCAGACGATCGAACTTTGACTTGCTGGCTCTTTTGTGTAATACGAGGCTGATTACACTCATTTCATAATCATAATCGCGAACCGGCGAGGAGTGGGGGTAAAATCATTCCAAGTGAATGACCAAGTAGCACATATATCGTTGCCGAATGGATCACTTAGCGGCCTTCTGCAGGCCGCCACAAAAAAGTGAACGTGAGACCGGAGACAAAACCAAGTTGTCACGCTAATCCAAAATTTTTGGCCCTTCCATATCGGATTGAAGACATCTCCACTGAACGACCTTGAATGTGGTTACTGTCGCCGGTGGTGTCAATTAATATGGGTCAGCGTTGGAATTACAGGAGTCAACTTTTGGATGTACGAAAAAGAAAATACACGAAATACAAATCACGACACAGGGAACACGAAACACGTACGCAGTAAATTTGCAATAAAACGCATTTCGGGCAATTACTTAACAGTAACAGTTGTGGCGCTAATCAAGCCATGCATCACACGACTTTACAAAAATTCGATTTTGATTTTGTCTTTGCTTTTTTTTTGGCTCATTCTATAATGCCCCTGACATAACGCTGGCCACGCCAGCTGCTGCTGTTGCAACTAGTTGTTGCATGTTGCCGTTGTGCTGTTAAATCGACTGTCAAGAGCTTGAATTCGCCGGTTGTTTAACCCGTTCGGTGCTAAAATCAGTGAAACAAATTTCCTAATTGAAAATAAAGGTTTCAGCTTTTGGTAAAAAACTTGTTTTTAATGCCATTGATTTTCTGGCTACGTTTTAAAAAGTGCTTAACTGTGTATCCCTATTAAAAAAAATACGTTTAGTATTATAAAGGGATCTCTTATTGACCAAAACACTCATAATGTATAAAATACAAACAATCATTTTAAAATGTAATTTTCCAATAGCCTAAAAATATGTAACGTATTCTAAGATAGTTACAACGTTTTACCAAAAATACTTTGGTTGTAGTAAGTTCATCTAATCGAACAGTGGCTTTAAGTGGGTTAAACTTTTACTATCACTCTACCATTTCCTTTTTAACTCTTTCGGGTTTAATGTGGATATATAGGCCAGTGTGATTTTGCTGCGTTTGAGGGCGCACCACTGCCATCCTGCCCCACGGAGCCACCGAGCCACCGAGCCACCGATGATCCGATCCACCGAATTACCGACTTACCCCGCACTCTCCTTTGGGATGTTAGTGCATTTGCAGCAAATTGCTCGTTTTAGACATGCCAAATTGCATAATGGATATTTGTCTGTGCCATAAATATGCCATAGCTTCCATGCCACGCCCCCCCTCAGCCCCCCGGCCCCCTTCTATCCATGCGTGCCCGTGGGCAAAACAAAACCAAACAATAATCCGCTGCGGTGGATGATTACTTTCGCTTTCTGCGAACGCGCTCGCGAATCGCGAATCGTTTTGGATCGGGATCCCGAGATCGCACATGCAAATACTTCCTGTTGGGTGAGTTTTGATTTCTGTGAATGTGGACCACACAAAAAACTCGGACCAGGTCCAGAAGCGACACGGTAAGAAATAAGATCTAAGATAGGATGTTTATTAAGATATTTTCTATCTTAAATAATTCAAGGGTGTAAAAAAAGGTCAGCGGAACGCATGTAAATACCAATTAAATGTTTTTGGGTCCAAATGAAAATCTATTTGCTTTTCCAAATTTATATTATTAAAAAATTAAGAAATAAAAGTAATAATAAAGGTGATATACATTGTTGTGTATCTTAATAGTTTAAATTATCCTGCAATATATTCTATTTTACCATTGGATTTTGTGAATTTGTTTTGGGGATGATTTTTATTGAAACGTTCTATTTCCTATTTCTGTCTCAGTTTGTCATCAAAAACGATTAGTTCGAAATTAGCATTATTGTGAAAGTTTTAACTTATATGACTTATAATTTAGTTTGTTGTAACCATTTATCTCTGTGTAATAGGATCCCCATTCCAGCCAAAGTCGAACAGCTGGCCACTGGACTCAGACTCCAATTGAGACCCTGACGCATACACGGACTCAATGGTTCACCCAGCACCGACATGATGTAAAACACGCCAAGTGCTCGTCGTTATGCAGATATAGCCAAACGAAATAGCTGTCTAATTGGACGGCAAAACATGACCGGCTGTTCAGTCGATTGGTCAAACATGAGTGGGCAAATCGTTTCTGATAAAAGCCAGCAAGATTGATATGAGATATGTAACTACCTCATAAATCAATCTTACGCGTTCCAAGAAAGATTGATATATACCAGAATGTTTTTAACACCTTACTAATTGATCTAGTTCTATCAAAAAGGAATGCCAAAAAATGTATAAAGAAAATGCAAGTAATACTTAAAGTTTTAAAGTGTAATTATGATTGCTCATTGTTAATTTAAGCTGTGAAGCTGTTAATTAGAAATTTGACATCGCCTATAGCTGACAGACATTTAAGGAATCTTCTGTAAATGGATGTGTACTTTCCCACCAATACTTTCATTTTTAAGTTAAGTTAAGTTATTATTTTTAAAGCATGTTCCTTGGATTTGCATATCCGTGCGACTAAGCCGAGTTTAATGGATGGCTTTGGTACGTGTTATCAGCCGGGGCTTCCTACTGGCCCACAAGTGCCAATCAACTTTTGACCACAATTTATGCGCCCTCGCAAAAATCGTTTACCCAATCGATACGGATTACATGACACGGCTGGGGGCATGGATTTCCTGCGGATCGGCGATCGGTTCGCCACCGAATCGTATCTGCCGCCAATATCTCCCCGTTAGACACGACCTGAAACTGAAATTGAAATTTCCACGCAGATACGATAGGAACGTGGTCGGTTCGCGGCCCCATATCACTTACCACTTGGCAGGCGGAGTGCGTCCGCCAAAAGCGCCGATCGCCTCCGCAACTCGGGTGAATTTTGATGCGATGCGATTTCGGACTTCGATAGGGTCGAGGGACAAGTGCCAAACCAAACAAAATGCACATTTGGGCGAATTGAGCGATATGTGGAGCAGCCCTCAAAGCCAAATATTCACAGGCACAAATTATTGTGCAATGCGTGGAAGCACTAACGCCGCTTCTATTTTGGCCATTTGGCTATTAACTGTTTGCCGAAGCACACTTGACCTGCTTGGGGGCGGAGCTCCTCATTTCTCATTTATAATTGAGAATGACCGAGAATGTACAAAGCCATCGAATACATTTAAAATTGTATGATATATTTTTGAAATTTTCAAAGCCAAACGACTTTGCGTAGTGAATTTTAAAACTGTGAACCATTTTTAAAGACATTGTTACATTTATAAATATATGCTCGTTTTATTTAAAATACTCTAAGTTAATCTGTGACCTATTTCAATGTTCAAATTATGGTCCAGAATAAAGATTTGTGGTTTTGTTTTTTTTGGAGGATTAGATGAATTAAGAATCATGTAATCTGACGTAATTAAAGTGATAAATAAAATTAAGTTATTATGAACAATAAAGTATTTTTTACGAATTAAGAACAATTTTAACTTTTTCCAAAATAAAACTTATACATTGTTAAAAATGTATGTGTCTTTTGTTATTTTAATTATTTTTGAATGCATCAATAATTATACGACCTGAAAAATAATAAACTGTTAAGAATAAAATAATAAAAAAGTAATTTCGTTGTGGTGCTTAATTACTTAATTTCTATTCTTGGGACAGAGTGTTTTTAGTGAGCTTCTATTTTTGTTGAAAATCTTTAGCGAATTTTTCATTTTAATTATAACGTGGCTATTGGCTATTAGGCAATCCCCATTCTTCTGATGACTTGCCTTTGGGGCGTAACCTCTGCTGCGAGTTAGAATTCCAAGGAGTTCCTGGTATGCAAATTAGCTGCCTAATGAGCTCATCTTGACTTCAGCGAATCCCATTTCGATTTCGAATCCAATCTCCTACATCTGCTGCCGTCGACGTCAAAGTCAACGTCGACTGCGACTGCGACGGCGACTGTTGCGCTTGCGCAGAGTGTGGCGCAGATTTGTGAAGTCGATGGCGAGGCGCTGATGAAGAACAACCCCGGCCTGAATTAGACGACGCCAGCGAGCATGACAAGGTCGGCACTTAAAGGTGTCGCCAATTATGAGCCTCACCCCTCGCTCCTCACCCCCAACCACCCACCACTTGCTCATCGTAGGGTTTCCCCATCTTTCGAAAATCTCTTTTTCGAGCGTTTTGTGAAAACTTGCTCGAATTAACGCTTGAGTTGAAACCCCAAATGCACTTGTGGCCAGTGGCAAAGCCGGTGGGTGTCCGTTAAATTTGAATTTCACACCGCTTACTTCGCTCAGCAATGCGGAAAGTAAACTCTCCAAGAGCCGAGCTTAAATTCTTGGATTCTTTGCTTCAGGTGCGGTTCTAATTCGACTGCTCCACTGATTTCCGTACTCCAGCCAAGAGTTCTCTATCTAATTGCATCTAAAGAAACACAGAACACACCAACAATAATCACTCAAACGTGCCTTCATTTAGTTGTTGGCTTTATACCGAGTATTAAAACTAGCCACTGTGTTTTGGTTAAAGGGTTAAGAAATGTAATAGCTAAGATTCTATTTTCTTACATTTAAGTTTATATGTGTCTTTTTTTGGACATTAACACTTCGCAGATATATAAATATTTTAAATTATTTATTGCATTATTTATAAAATTTTATTTTCTATGATCTTAATTTATGATCCTAATTTTTAATAGGCAATTATTATGAGTTCAGAGTATAAAGTTTTGACATTTTTGTTACAAATATTGAAGACTTATATTAAATGCGAAAGGGCATTCTAGTTTCTAACACGAAACGGCTATTTTCTCTGTTACAATTTCAATTAAAACAATTTTTCGAGAGTCATTGCCAGCATTCGGGAACGGGGAATGGTGAAAAATCTGGCGGGCCCTCAAGTAGCTGTTTCCCTCCTTCGGAAACCCCTTTTCCTCCCTTTTCTCAAGTGGGCGCAGCGTGGGCAATGCTAATGATGATAATGATGATGACGATCTGCAGAGCCAAGCTCGAGCGCCTCTTGCTGCTCATCCCCTCCCCCTAAACACCATACACCCGCCATCTAAACGAACAACAACTAAATTACACTAAGACAAAAAAAACTTTTTAGCTAAAGGGAGTATAAAGGTGTTTTTTAATATAAAGATAAATAGCAATATAAATATATGAAAATATCAAAATATCAAAATAAAAATATTTTTTATTATTAGAATACAAATTCACATTTAAAGGACATTTCTACAAATATAGTTATTTTTACAAAATGTGAACTTCAATTTAAAGAAAATTGTTCTTATTTAAGCTTATAAAATACTGTATTATACCTGTATACCTGTTAAACACTGTTACCAAGTGATACTTAGGGGAAAGCAAAAGAATATTTTTTGAGTGTGGCAACAACAAATTGCCGAGAGAGATGCTTACCTGCCTCTGTCGCTGGCACTGCCTCTGCCCGCGGCGCTGCCGCAGCGATGTCGCGTCTGCGCCGCTTTCTGCTCTTCCGATGAGTTTCGAACACAACTAAATCAGAATTTTATTCAGTTTCAATTGTTTAGCGAGTGCGGATCGGCGTCGAGTGCGCGAGGCAGCGAAAACAAGCCAATCCGAACGAGACGTGCCCCAAAACGAAAATAAAATAAATATACAAATGCAAAGCAGAATCAAATGCAAAAGATAAAATAGAAAACTAAAAAGTATATGTAAATTAGGTGTGTACTTGAGAACTTTCTTGTCATTAGCCGAAATTGTGGAGATTTGCAAAGTGTCAAAGCGCAACGGAAGTGCCGTTATATTCGCTACATTTCCCAGCTTAATTTTTCTCGCCCCAAAAAAGAAGAAAGTCGCCGTAACAGCCTAACAATTTTCACCGTCAGAGAGTTATTCCATTTCGTTTCGAGAAGAATTCTTTGCCTGTCAGCTTTTAATTAATCATCAAGATTCTTAGCTTAATTGTTTTTGGCAACTATGAAAAAATAAGTTATTATTGTTTTACGAGCTTTCGGCATTGGGATGACAAATGCTGGATTTACGCATTGATGAGCACTTTGTCATTAGAGTTTTTAATTATCGGGCGACTCCAAAAACTTTTGGTCGAAAGGTCACAGGCACCTGTGCAGTGAACTCTGACGTCATCGCCTGTAAGAAGGCTTCGCACCGCTTGGTTGATCAGGTTATTGACTCTCAACCTCCCTTTCCCACCCGCAGTTACAGCTGAGACCCATCATAATTATGTGGAGTTGGCTTCTTCCGCAACCGCAGAATCTTTAGCCGTCTCTTCTCGTCCGCGAGCCCATAAATAAAGCCGATCTTGGCTCATTTTTAACGATCTGCATATTTTGGCAACATAATTAACGGTGAAAAGAATGTGAAAAGTAGCGAATCGTAACGCAAAAGCCAGAAACAAACAAAAAAAAAAGTATAAAAAAAGAAACACGCGACTGCAAAGAAAGGCGGAAGAAAGAAGCAGAAGGTTTCTACGCGCCTCGAGCGAATCGCCGTCTCTCAGTTTGAAATCTCCCGTCCATCCCATCGGTGCCTCGAGCAAATCTTCTGGCCAAAAGCCCCAGTGAAACCGATAATGCAAAAGGGGAAGTGCCAAAGAAAACGAGTTAAGTGAGAGCAAATCTAAAAGAAAGCATCATCATATCGGATATCGCCACTGGGCTCCCAAATTAATCGGCCCAATGATCGCGATTAGCGATAGCACGCTGGGGCAGCGATTAATGCGTCTGCTGTTAGCATTTCTCCTGATCGATTTTTGGAACTTAGCTGATTCTCTGACAGTCGACAATCAGTTGGTTTCCGCTCGAAATGGTGAGTAAATGAAAAGGAAATGGGAAACACTTTCTTTTAATTTTGAACTTAAAAACCCAAAGTTAAGAAGTAAAAAGAAGCGGAAAATATGTATGTAACAATTTTGTAACATTAATTGGATTTTCAAGCTAATTTTTTATTTAACAATAAATATTCTTAATCCTACAGTTTTTCAATGTTTCTTTAAACAGTTTTTAAAGTGCTTACAGTATGCATACAAATAAATACCAGTTAGGCTAATAACAATTGGTCTTAACAACCTGCTTAATGTCTTTTTAAGAACTGCCATTTTATGAGTTTTATGCGAATGGGAAAATATTTACCATATTGTACTTAATGGAGTGCTCGAAGATACCAAAATTTGTAGAAATAACAAATTCTGGCTTAACGAAATAGCTATAATAATTATAGCCCACAGTCGTGAGAATTATAATTTTTATAGGTAATACAAAACATGTGTAAAAGACAATGAGATGGAAATTTGAACAAAATGTATTGTATAAGATTCAATCACAATTAAGATTTTGTTTTGTTTTGTGCAATAGTAAATATTAAATATTTTATTAAAAACTTTATTGAAATTTACCTTTTAAGCATATAAGCCATGAGTATTTGCTTGCACAATTGTTTTCATTGTAAATTTTATTAAAGAATTTTTATTTGGAAAATATTTGACTAACATTAGCTGGTAAATAATTAGGTGTCACAAATGAGGTAATTTCTTGGAAAAGATCATGTCCATCTAATAACCATAGGCTGGGGGCCAATCCATCAAGCATGTCACACCACAGACACCGCAGAGCAGTGTGTTTTGTCAATGGTTTGACCTTTTTGAATTATTCATGCACTGACAAAAATTCTATGGGTCACCCAACTGCGTCCCGCCGGCACGCAAAGTTAATAAAATTCAAATTCAACTTCGAATCCGAATCCGAGCGGAGAACAAAGCCGGCGAACAATCGAAATAAAAAAGAGACAATTGCAGAGTCAATAAAACTAACCTACCGTAGAGTGGACGAAGTGGAGCACCATCGGTGGCCTTGAAAGTGCAAGTGGGGTGACGCAATTGTTAAACAAAAAAAAAAAAAACAAGGGGGTGGGGGAGGGATTACCCAACTGGCAGGGGAACCTTTTGTAACTTCAATCTCACTTCGATCTTGCATCGACAGACTGCTTCGAGCGGATTGCACTGGAGGCGATGCTGCCATTTGAGAAGACCTTCCGCACCGAAGACACCAACTCGCTGAAGATGTGCAAGGAGAAGTGCCTGCAGGCGGGCGAGAAGTGTCAGGCCATCTCGTTCGGGTGAGTCGTCTTGCACCTGTCACCCCTTGATTGCCCAATTTCCAGCCATCCAGCCATCCAGTATACCAGTACGAGTACACATGCCTAATTGTTTTTGTTTGCTTCGCATTTTGCAGTGTTCATCGACGCGGAAACGGCACTTGTCAGTTGTCGTCGGAGCAGTACGGCTCGGGGGGCGGCGGTCGGCCGGGGGGCGTGATTTTCGATCCCGACTTTGATCTGTACACGCGCAAAACTAACTGCTTCGACTTGAGCGACAACTCGATTGCCCCCGGTCCGCAGCCCGTTCCCGGACCCAGTCCCATTTCGCCGGGACCCACGCCAGTGGATCTGCCCAATCGACCCCTGGATGTGGGTAACACACCCGTGCTGGTGGTCAACCCCACGCCCCACACTTCGGGGGGTCCGCCTCCTCCACTGGGACCCTCGTTACCGCCTCCAGGAGTGGGTGATCGTCTCTACTTCTCGCACGACCTGTACCCCCTCTACAAGTATCCCACTCTCTACGAGAGCAGCTATCCCTCGCCCAACGAGGAGGCCTACATTCCGGGAGGCTATGCAGCCAATGCCCCAGAAGTTGATGAGCGGTATCGTCCCCACTATGGACCCATTGAGCCAGCGGGGGATGAAGTAAGGCCCACTCCCCACAGCCCTCCGAGACCCATCTTTGGATTGGGGTATGGAAATGGATACAGCTACGGTTCCCCGGAGAGATATACTCCACCCACGGTCAGGCCATCGGATGGTTCCTCGGAGGAGCGACCCAGCTATGCAGCTCGGCCACCTCGTCCCACGGCTGATCGACCGGATTACTCAGCCGGACCACCTCGCCCCACTGCAGACCGTCCGGATTACTCACCTCGCCCAACCGCTGATCGTCCAGATTATCCACCTCGGCCCACTGCCGATCGTCCGGATTACCCACCACGACCTTACGACAGCTCAACACCCTCCTCCTATGGACCTCGCCCAAGTCCCAACTACGATCCCCATCGCGAACCCAGGCCAGATTTCACCAATCGACCCGATCCGCCATCTCTTTCACCCCACGATGGCTACGGAATGGGCGGACCTTCCGCACGACCACCTCCGCCTTACGAGGGTCCACCTCCATCACGGGATGAGTACGTCAGGAGGAATGGCAGTGCCATGCGACCCGGAGACGGATACGGAGGCTACGACGATGACAAGACCATTGCCACCTACTTCAACCCCGATGACTTTATGCATGGAAACAACAGTAAGTTTAGGATGGTATTTGAAAGGTTTTTCAATTGAATACAAATATTTTCTATATAATAACAATATTTTATACATGAAAAATTATTAGTAAATAATGGAATTTAAATTAATCATTTTATTATACCCTTGCAGAGCAAAGGGTACTACAATTCAGGCCAAAAGTTTGCAACGCAGTGAAGGAGACACCTATTCTTTATCAGCATCACGATCTGAATCGAAATACGTCTGTCCGTCTGTCCGTCTGTCTTCCTGTCCGACAACCATGATTTTTAGAACATCGAAATTTCATAAAAATCGGACAAATATATCATATAGCTTTCATATGAACAATCGTGGAAAATACAGAAACGTTAGAGAAAAGTCGACATACCTTCATGTTGTTTAGCCTCTATGTATTTAGTTCCACATATTTGATTATAGCAAGGGTATCTTCCTTTCTTGTTTTGTTATAATTTGTTTTCTAATTGTTGGGGATAATAACCCATTAATATTTTAAATTTTTTTAATTTGATTAATGTTGCATTGATAACCAGTATTCAATAATTAAAAATGCATTGTATTTCAGAACGACCAATGCCTGGCGATAGAGATCGTGATATGGACAGGGATCGTGACCGCCTGGGATATCCAATGGATGAAATGAAGGGTGAGTGGATTAAGGGTATTCCTGCCTTGGTTTGTTCCCCTATCATCAATTAATCAATGGATTCGCGTTGTCCCCAAAGCTAACCCCTAACCCCGTAGACATGCAACGGTGTCTATAACCATATAAACAGACAATGACACGGGTCACTTCAAAGGTGCAACAACAATGGAACAACTAAAATTTAGAATTAACATGGCGCACAACTAAAACTCATTAGCTTTCGGGGTCCACGACGACCGACCGACGGACTGGCCAACTGACAGATGACAGACGCCCGATTGACCCACATTCCCCGGCTTTTATTTGCGTAACAAAACTAAACCCATTAGCCTGGCATAATGCTCATCGGATTTGGGGTTGGGGGTGGGTGGGCGGTTGCAGTAAACATCGGCATTATTCACAATCGCGTTCTGGGCACAACGGAGCCGAAAGCTCCACTAACTAACCCACCCACAAAACGGTATAATAAATAACGCTGCGGCCAAAGTTTTGATAAATGGCAAGCGCAATAAAATGGAAATGCGAAAATTAGGGTCACCCACATGGATTACTTGGTTTTTCGGTTCTTATATACAAATTTACAGTTGAAAACAATAAATCAGAACTTTATTTTGTTCCTTATAAGAACATATACCCTTTCAGTTTAACAAAAGGTTATAAAAAGAACTTTTATTTTGGATTTGTAAAGGCTTAAACTAGGTACAAATTAAACCTTAAAAAGGTAAAGTTCAATAAAAAACACTTTAATCTTTTTTAGGAAAAGAGCTTTTGTTAAAGCTGAAAATGTTTAGCCAATAAATGGCATTATAATATGATTCATTATTTACTTATAAATTTGAACCTTGGGATTAAATTAAAGTCCCAAAAATTTATAACTATCTCCAAATTGTCAGCCCAAATGTTTTAACGAAAAGTGTAATAATGCTAAATATATTATGTATAATTATGAATCCTAACCTCTTTATTAAAAACTTTCATAATCTGCCAGTTCATTTCCGTAAAGGTTATCCATAGTTAACTCCAGACATTTTTCCGGTCTCTTCACCTGATATGATCTCATTGCCTTACAGAAGAAATTGAGTTGTCAAGTGCAGAAGATTTATGACAATTCTGAAATTGCCAAGCTAGATCATCAAAGAACGATTTGTATTTTGATTTCGACGCGACTTCCTTTCGGGTTTCCCAAGTGTGACGGACTGGAGTACATGAACCCAGCGGGTGGCGGTGACATAAGCCTACTAAATAGGTAAACCATATGCCCCATGCCAAGCGCCAACCGCCAACTGCCAACTGCCAAGAGAATCCAAGTTCAAATGCCAAACTTGATGACGTTGGCGCAATTAATTGTGTTTCTGAGGTGGCGTGTTTGCCAGTTAGTTAGTTAGTTAGTTGGCTCGCTTTTATTTGGCGTGGGACAGATCGTAATTTACACTTGGAGATTTGCTGGGAGGCGGAAGCGATCTTCGCCATGTGTATCTCTCATTTTTCGGCTGTTCTATGGGTTGTGCAAGATCGGAGTAGAACAGAACGGAGTGGAACTGCGCCCAGCATGCACACTCCTCCGGCGGGCATTGTATGCAAATGCGACACCAGGTCGCTGCACAAAAACCACCCACATTTGCGGTTCGAGTTCGTGGCACCACCGCGGTGGTGCACCGCCTGACAGCAGTGACATTGATTCAGAAACGGAAATGCACTCGAGTCGGCTGCTTTGGCTGCTTTGGGTGGTTGAGAGGCCATATGATCGATGGTCTCATATCTGTGGTCAGGCTTGATTGGGAAATGCTGTAAAGCACTTAGAATTTGAGCATACTTCAAAAACATGTTGTTGGCAATTGCAAGAGACTTAGGAGAGGATTTATACAAATGTATTTTGTCTTAATTTTAACTTGTATTTAGACACTTCCAAAGTATTAGAAAGAGTAGGGATTTGTTAATTAAAAAAACAAAAAAAATTTTCGTGAAAATTACTCATAAATATGTTGAAGACAATAAAAGACTTAGGAAAGGAACTTGAAATTAGAATAGTAAACTTAAAATTTGAAAAATATACTTTTTCCATTAATTTATTAAAAAAATTTTGAAGTTTTTAAGTTTAAATACCCAAGTAATGGTTTAATAACATTGGAAATGTAGGGGGTGGACTTCCTTAAACTGCTTTAAGGAGTTATTTAAATGTCAAAGTAATAAAATTTGGTAAAGGTAAAACTATATATAACCTTTATTCCAAGTTACAGAATTCACTTCAGAGCGACTTATTTTCACAAAATAAGGCCAACTCTGCTCAATATTGTAAGGTTCAAGACTATGTTTTTAATTAATTAAAACTTGGTGGCAATTAAACACCCCATAATAACCCGCAACATCTTGAAATATAGTCCATCCTTGGGCTGAAATCATGAGAAACAAAGCTGGCAGTAATTCCAGTTTATTCACCCGCGATTTATTCGGCTATGATTAAGTGGCTAACTGTTCGGGCCAAGATTTTCCTCGTAGCTCATTAAGTCCGCTCTTATTGAAACGAAATAATAAGCGTCGCAGCGAGTTGCGGCATCCTTGAGCGAGGTCTGTTAATGGTTGGCTGAACCCATCAGCATCGCATCTCGCAGCGATCTGTACCCTCGTATTTTCATCTGAACCATCGGCGAAGATAGCCATCTTCCACCGAAAAAACCCCTCGCTGAAAACGCTCATTATGCCGGAGATCCAAGGCTTCTGGGCGAACGAAGTGCTCTCTGCTTGGGGTCGGGAAAAAAGAATCCGATGAAAATGGGAGTTTTCAGATTTTCTGAGCGCCAGAGCGCGAAAAGCTCGCCCACTCAGAAGCGTAGAAGCGAAAAGCTCGAAAATCGCGCGCGATTTCCTAATGCCGTATAAAACCGCGAGCTTGACCACAGCCGCTGTTCATTCGCGATTAGAATCGCCAGCGCCGCGCGTCGTAAAATTGTTCTCCGTCCGGAAATTGTGATAGCGTCTCCGTGTCCTGTGTGCGAGCGGGATGGCCAGATGGCCCATTGTTTGAACCGCTTGACATTGCACAGAAATTAATTAGCCCAGAACGTAAATTTAGCCATTACGTAATCGCGTCAAAACCACCACTTCGGTACAATTAACTCCCAAAAAAGATAAACAAAAAAATGGGGAGCATCAGTGGGCTTTTGCCGCTGCTTCTGCTTGTGTGCCGCTTCTGTCACAGCGGATCGAAGTTCGTTAGTCCTACGCGACACACCGATCTCAGCAGCACCATTATCATAGTTGAGGATGCCAAGGGTAAGGCAGGGGAGGGTGGAAGAGTGGGGGCTCTCTGGGTCATTCCACTTGGGGCCAAAACTCTCGACCGAATTTCGGAGTGCGTATTAAAGTAATTTGCATAATTTCCATCGTTCTGCGTGAAAAACACGGTGTCTTGGCTGGCAATTTTCCCGGAGATAATCTTCGCTGGAGTACACGGCACCCAACATGACTCGAACATAATTTACTCAAAACGGCAGCGGATGTGCCGCAAAAACACCGCAGCGAGAAACACTTCGACCCGTAACAGAAACAGAAACCGACTTGGACATAAATGCACTCGGGGAAAAAAACATTTCTTAGTCCAAACGAAGGAGTTCTTAAATAATCTTTCAATTAAGTTCTAGGTCGAAAGAAAGTATAATGACTTTCCAGTTAAGCGAAAGATCCAACTAAGAACACAGAGCAAATTGTACCATGTCATCTTCCCAGTAATATTGGCTTTTACTTTTCTTTCAATTATCACTGACGAGATATAATGCTTTTTTAATTGCAAAAGAAAAGGTGAAAAATAGCCACTGATAAAAAGAATATTGTTTTTGCTTAAGTGGATTATAATTTCCTGAAATTATCATTTTTTTTTGTAACAAAAGATGACAATTTGCTGTTCTTACTTCTCTCCAGATTCTATTTAAATTGCTCTAAGCTCTTAAATTATTTTCATATCTTAATTTTGAAGACCTTTCTAGTGGGACCTGCTTACTTATCTCTCTTTTTGGCAAAAAATATATACAGTTGTTTTTCCAAGTGCAGACACCCATGAGGCAACCCAGCCCCGATCTTGGGCTCTGTCCTCGCTTCACTGACTCCGAACGTTGAATGGTTGATCTTTTTTCCGCTTTACTTTCCGCTGCCCGTAATTGCGTAAGACGCAGCATCCACTGCAACTGGCACTGCAACACCCACTTGCTCTCCTTTCAGCCTGTTTCCGCCGAGTCCTGGCCGGAAAGCGGATTGCCCCCCACTTCGTGCGCCGCTCCATTTCCTGCGAGCGGGTGGAGGAGTGCATGCGGGAGTGCGGACGCGAGAGGCGCTTCATGTGCGAGGGCTTCAACTACCGACTGGATCCCTCGGGTCATGGGCAGGGTGACTGCGAGCTGGTCGAGATGCCGCTGGCCCAGATGGACCTGTACTCCAGTCCGGACCGACGGGACGCCAATCTGCTGAGGCATCCCGACTACGACTACTACGAAAGGGATCGCAATGCGCCGAGCAGTTGTCGGCGAAGTGCTTGCCAGGACTGCTCCAAGGGTCCGGTGAGCAGCCAGCCCGTTTACTTCAAGCCCAGCGGCGGAGGAGGGGGATACGGGGATCGGGATAGGGATCGGGACAGGGACAGGGATCACTATCGGCCGCCGAGCAGCACGGCTGTGGATCACTACCGGGGTCCTTCGGCTCCTCCGAGCAGCTCCTACGAACACCGACCGCCCTTCTCCGCCGAGTTCCACGGCTCGCACAGCTCCTCCTCCTCCTCCTCATCTTCCTATGAGTTCTCTTCGCACGGATCTGGATCGAGTTCCGGTTCCAGTTCCGGTTACTTTGGCCACACTCCGCCCAGCAGTTATGGCGGGGACCATCCCTATGTGGACCGCCACGACCCGCCGCATTATCGCCCCGGAAGACCAGATCGTTGGGAAACGCTGCCAAGTAGTTCTGGCTATGATAGCTCCGCCTACCGACCTCCACGCCCCGAAACGGATCGCATCGACAAGTACCGACCTCCTTATCGTCCCGGTTCGGACTACTCCCCCTACCGACCGCCAAGTCGTCCTTCGCACAACTACCTAGATCGCGATGGAGCAGGACCTCCTGGTCCTCCGGGTTCCTACAAGAAGCCCAACAAGTTCGTGCCCTATCTGATTGGCGGCGAGGACAACTGGGGACACTACGGAGGCAGCTACGGCGGGAACAGCAAGCATTCCTCCTCGTCCTCCTCTTCTTACTGGGGTCTCACTGAGTCGCAGAGGCGCAAGGATCAGCAGGACTTCAACTACTTCCAGCTGGGATCACCGCATCGTGAGTCCAACTCGGTGCTCAGTTATCCGGGTTCCGGTTACGAGAAGGATTATCATAGGCGACGCAACGATTACCGCCAGCAGTGGACACGACGACCGGGTCAAGATGGTGAGTACTTCCAGATTAAATATTTACAGATTACATTTTGAAATAGGTAAAAACTTAAGAATTTATAGCGATGATGAAAGAAGAACCAAAATTTTTACCTTGATTTTGTTCAACTTAAACGTAACTAATAATTTTGAAACATTAAATAGTTTTATGGTATTTTAAATCCATCAGTCATTATGTTTTCGTGATACCCGGGCAGAATAACCTTAAAAACATTGTTTATGTCATCAATTTTTTAAGAAAGGCTTTTATAATACTTAAGGTAATTAGGTAACCTAAAACTCCTGCCACCAAATCTCTATCTTTAGTACATTTTCTACCTAAAAGAAGTTTTGTTTAGTTTTCTGAATGGCATTTAAGTTAAAATAATTGGCCTATTACCCACAGAATGCTCTGCGAAGACCAGCGAGGGATTCCGGTTGCACAAGACGGCCGTGAAGCATGCCTTCAACGTACCCACTTTGACGGAGTGTGAGCGGCTGTGCTCTGATCAGCGGCCCAGCTTCATTTGCCACACGTTCAGCTATCGGTATAACCAGGCGGGCAGGGACAACTGTATGCTCTGCGACCGACCCATCAACAAGCTTGACTACTACGTGGACATCGAGCCGGATCGGGACTACGACATCTACTCCATGACGGACGACATGGATGTGTGCCGACAGCCTCCTCCTCGACGACAGGACACCGTCGGACCCAGTACCGCTCTCTCGGATCCCAGAAATGCTCGTAAGTAAATATTATTATAGTATTGCTATAGTATAATACATCTACAGACTTAGACAAAATCATGAAAATGTATAATTAAATTTAGATTCGATCTTATGGTTGGCTAATTTCAAATCATTATTCATACCATGCAGCGTAAATTATACTTCAGTGACTTGCTTAATATGAAACCTCTGATAAAATCGTTAACTTTAAGTATGCTAACAAGGTAACTTTTCATGTCAGTGTTCAGCTCATTTAATTATTTATTTGTCATATACTTCTCCAATGCTTTAAATTACACATGAATGAAAATGAAATGAATTTTGAAAGCACTTTCATGAATAACTTTAAGCCAATATAGCAAACTAAACTTGTTTTAATAGGATCTTAGATCATAATCAGTTCCAGGTTTTAAGCTAAAAAAAAAGAACGAAAAACTATTGCCTTTGTATAAATGGCTTAATCTTTTTCAGAGTGCTTCTTCCGGGCGATCGATGCCACGAGATTCTTCAAGTCGATCGTGCGTGACTCTCTAACTGTGAGGTCTGTGGGCGAATGCGAGATGGAGTGCATCCGCTCCACGAAGTTCACCTGCCGGGCCTTTGCCTTCCGATATGGTCAGCAGCGGCATGCCGGGGTCATCGACAACTGCCAACTGAGCGACTGGCCGGTGAGGGACATGGACAAGGAGCGACATCTCATCCTGGACGCCGCCTTTGACATTTTCGAGCGAGCGAGTTACGGTCATGGATGCGAAATCCAGCCGATTGTTGATGAAAAGCACAAGAAACGTATGTATTTCTTTAATTTTGGTTTCTCCTTTAGTAGTAATTTATTTTAATACTCCTCAGTTTGCTATTTGGGCTATGGATCACCGGCAAGACTGCTACCTCCTGCCATCAAGAAGGTGATTTCGGTGCCCTCGGAAATGGCCTGCAAGAAGGAGTGCATTCGTTTCCGGGAAACTACTCCTTTTAAGTGTTTCGCTTTCAGTTATGGGTGAGATATAACGAATCCTTTCTCCAGCAATATTCATTAAATATCCTTGACCAAATCAGCTCCCATGCCAGCACCTTCAACTGCGAGCTATCCGATCTGGATCAAACCGAGTTGAAGCAGGATGTGCACTATGCGCACACCAAGGACCGCGACTTCTGGCTCTTCGCCTGGAATCCCTTCGACTGGACCTGTCGTGACAAGGTCAACACCATTGGCGGATCGCGGGTCAACAACGATCGGCGCATGGACATCTTCCGGGAACCGGGTAAACTCAACCTACTAACCTGTTGCACCTCGATCCAAGTGTAAATAACCGAATCCGGCTGCTCCACCCGGGCAGAGGATAATTAGTTTTAGTTGTGTATTACTAGAATTAGAATTAGAGTTTGTGTAAATTAGCTTGTAGCGGAGAATGTTGTGTAAATAACGTTTACTAGCATGTACAGTGGCCCCAGTCCCCGGCTAACCGAAAGACGAATCCCCCAAAATCTACTAACCGACACCGTTTGCATGACACCGTTTCCGTTTCCGTTTTCGATTTCGATTTCCATCCCAAACTCCGTGCTCTCGATTTCACTAAATCCGCTTCTTGTTCGCTAAAGGCGACGTGGCCTGGCGCCATTACACCGTCTCCGGAAAGCCCTGTCGTCGAAGCAGTCCCTGTGCCAAGAACCTAATCACTGGCTTCTACTCCTGCGAGACGGACGCCTCCGAGGTGGGATCCTGGGACTACTGCTGCAAGGCGGACCACCCGTGCGGCTACAGCAAGGGCTTCGATTATCCTTGGTAAGTAGCTGACGTCCTGAGATATAATTGAATATTTTATAAATTACAAATGAAGCGTACTTTAACTCATTTTTGAAAGTGGCAAAAATAAAACATATTAAAAAGATTTTTTGTACATCATGTGTATGGCATGCCGCACAAAGTCTTCAAGGGATTGAATCACAAGGAATTTTAATTGTACTTAATACTTTTAAAGGTGGAACGGATAAAAACCAATGCTTTTAATATAAATTAACTAGCGACCTACCATGAAATTATGGTTATCACCTTAAGTTTACCATACCAATCAATTTATGTATTTTCCACAAGCTTACTAATATTTTCCTATAACTTTTCTTATAACTTCCCAGGTGCTTTGTGGGTGACGAGTCGGACCAGTGGCGCAAGTGCAGCGACCGGTACTTCCCCGGCAAGAACGGCACGCAGGCGACGCACTCCCACCTGGGGTTGCCCAGCGGCAAGGAGAAGCAGAAGCATCCGCACCACTCGCAACCTGCCACGGCGGCCAGCAGCGAGTACAGCCAACATCCACCGCGACCAGGTGGACTGCAGAGCCTCAGCGACTTCGCTGCCGCTCGGCTGTGGCCGGTGACCTACCTGTACAGTGAGGGCCCGCCTAACGCCACCGAGTTCAGCAACTTTGTCGACTGCAACAAGGAGTCGTGCTAGTGGAGCGGCAACCTAGATTAGCTGTAGATGATTAAGACATACTTCTGTACAATAGATACCCCCCAGAAAAAAGCAAACCCCAAATCCCAGACAGATCTACTCGGACCGCGTGGACGTTGTCGTTGTGATCATCATTGAGATTGGATACCATTGTCGTCAGAGCCAAGCGAAACCAATTAACTTATTAACTTAACTCCCCTGAATGTTGAATGCAACCGTAATGACAGCTTGCGTGCAGGCATTCTTTGTACCTTTAAGCTGAATTGTATGTATTATTAATAAAATTAGTTTTTACGAAACAAAAAAGTCTGGCAGATGTTTTTTTTGAAATAATTATTTTTATTAGGTCATTAAAAATACAGTGGAATACGAAAGGTTACCCTTAATATAAAAAAATGATAAGAATTAAAACATTGGAAAAAATGTAATAAAATAATTTGTCAGCATAAAAATAGCAATAACTCTAAAAACTTATTGTGTAGGGGAACATCGCCTTGCAACCGCGGAGGAATGTGGAAAACCATCCAGGTAAAACAGGAATTATTGGATCTTGGGATTGGCGGAGAGCGGATACCGCTAAATAACTGTGCTGCTTAGGACATTGGCGGAAGTTAAAGAAAGGGAAATAGCTTGTTACCCAGTGGTGGCAGAGTTAGCTATTTTTTGCATTTGTTTATCCTATACGGTTAGCAACGACAACAACCATTCAGAGTGCTGTAGCAATAAACTTTGTTCATTGATAACAGATTTAAAAAAACTTTATGGATTTTCGTTATGTTTTTAAAAATTACATATTTGTCTACATAATTGTGTTCAATGTAAGATAAACATTTAATAACGGAATATGTATATCGAAAATACACAATCAAAATTAAGTGCTTTTCCGTTATTAACTTTAAAGATTTAGTTTTCGGCACTATTCGCTTCAGGGCATATACTATTCGCATTAAAACAGATGATATTATTATTGTTCTCCCGCAATTTTCGTTTTTGTTTTGATTACCAAGCTTTTGAGAGAAGCATTTTCAGAGAGTTTCGATAATAAAGAGCTTTTTACTTTTTTATAACATTTCTTTGTGTTTAGGTGTATAATATATATATATATATATAGGAATTATTGCAGTCTATCACCACAATTTCTTGCTGATAAGAAAATTTTGGTCCGAAAAATATTAAAAATTTTCGTTTAAATTTTTTCCATTTGCAGATGAATGCCCGATTTCGTTGATATCAGGAAAGTTACACTCGAAAACTTTAAAGGAATCTTTGTTTGCTCCGATCTGCTGAACTTGAACTCCTTCAGGAGGTAGACAAGTCCCACCTTCACCTGCAACTTGCCAAAGCGCTCGCCAATACAATTTCGAGGACCTTCGCCGAAGGGCAAGTAGGCAAAAGGATGGCGGGCCTTGATCTCATCCGGCTCGAACCTACTGGGGTCAAATTTCTCCGGCTCTGGATATAGTTCCGGATCGTGGTGAATACTGTGCACTGGTATCATTATCTTGGTGCCCCGTTCGAGAAATAAGTTGCTACTAGGTATCAGGTATTCCTTCGTGGAACGCCTCAACAAATGGGGCAGTATGGGATACTTTCGCAGAGTCTCGGCCACAACTTGATCCAAGTAAGGCATCTCCTGAACGGACTCGTAGGTGAGCTTCTGGTTGTTGCGATCCAAGACTTCAAGCACCTCCTCCCGTAGTCTCTCCTGGATATCGGGGTTCAAAGCTAGTTCATACAGACAGAAGGACATGGTGGTGGAGGAGGTATCGAAACCTGCCAGAAAGAATACCATGGCTTGGGCCGCAATCTGCTCGAAGGACAGTGCATCCTCCTGTCCCAGTTCCATCAGCAGTTGAATGAGGTCGTTGCGGTGGATGTGCTCCCTTCGTCTATAATCCAATGTCTGGCGAACGGTGTCCAGGAAGAACTCACTGACCTCCGGCCGGAAGAGCCGCAGTCGGAACTTCCTCGCCAAGTCCGGCTGGGCGAACATGAAGGCCTGAACGAGCACCGAGTGGAGGGGATTCGTGGTCACAGATCGTCCCATTCGCCGGAACTCCGAGTCCGGGTCCTCGAGGCTGTTGCACTCCAGTCCAAAAGCACAGCTACCAATCACATCGGTTGTAAACCGGGCACACAGATCCTTGGCCTCAATCTCGCCCAGCTGAGAGTGACACGCCCTCGTCAGCTTTTCGCCCACTTCCACCATAGTGGGAAACATGAACTTCATCTTGCCGGAACTGAAGACCTGCGTCAAGTTCTGGCGCAACCAGCGCCACTCGGGTCCGTCCAGAAATAGGAGATTGCCCGTCAGCGGATCGTCCCTCACATTGTGGAATAGTCCCCGATCGGCGAAAGCTCCAAAGTCGTTGATCATTATCATCTTGATCAGATCCAGATCCATTACGAACAGCGCTTTGGTCATGAAGGTAAAGTAGCCGCAGTAGCGTTCCCTACCGTGGAACTTCCCGTAGATCCGCCGGTTGATGTCCGTCCAGTGGAGTTCCTTGCCCAATCCCCTCATGTTTCCACGGAAGTACTCGGGCGTTTCGCCAGCCACGCCCAGTCGCGTCCAGTAGGCGTAGTGCCATCGGAGCTTGAGATATAGCAAAAGTCCAACGATGAATAAAAGAACCAAGAGCAATAGCATGGTGCCGGCAGTTCGTTTAAATAGCAACTAAATTGAAAAATAGAGCACGCTTGATTTGCTGGCGGAAAAGCTTTTTTCTATATTCTCTTGCTTTTTCTTTACTCTCTGAAAATGCAATTATCCAAACACAAATACAATATCTCGGTTGAGTAATTTTCCATGACTCTCCACAAATGGCTCTAAACAAATTGACCAAGTTGAAAATGTATTATTTTTAAACATTTTTAAATTTACAACGATTTCCATTTTAGTTTTGGTAAGTAAATTTTGTATTAGCTGGTTAGTTTCTTAAATAAAGATATACATATACAAAGTACTAAATATTACCAATTTTCAATGACTTAATAGTCATGAAGTAATCTGCTTTTAAGAGCCGTTAATATTCATAGATATTACACATTATTTTAGTTTCACATACATTCTTTTTGTTTTGAAGTGCCTAGATGCGTTCCACTTTCAGATGAATGCCATACTTGGTGCTTAAAGTGGGGCTGCGAGTGTCCAAGGTCAGGGGAATTTCTGTCAACTTTGAAGTACTAAACTTGAAGCGTTGCAACAGGGACACAATGCCAATCTTGGCCTGCATTTTTCCAAAACGCAAGCCAATGCAATTTCGAGGTCCATCGCCAAATGGCAGATATGAAAACGGATGGCGGGCCCTAATCTCCTCCGGCTCAAAGCGATTGGGATCGAAGAGCTCTGGATTGGGATACAAGTCTGCATCGTGGTGTATATTGTGTATAGGCATAAGCACAATGGTTCCCCTTTCGATAACAATATCTGTATTTGGAACTTTGTAGTTTTCATTAGTCTCTCGCAAGAGCTGAGGAATAATGGGATGCTTCCGAAGAGTTTCTAACGGTGGATAGAAAAGATGAATAAGGGTTTCCCATGTTGTAGTTAAACTTTTATTTTTCTTACCAGCCAACACCTGTTCCAGGTAGGTCATTTCAGCCAAAGCGTCGTAGGTAACCTCACCTCCTTGGAGAATATTTTTTATTTCCTCTCTTACCTTTTGTTGAATGTCGGGTTGCAAAGCTAGTTCGTACAAACAAAAGGCCATCGTACTCGAGGAGGTCTCGAAACCTGCCACGAAGAAAACAAATGCCTGGGCAGCCATTTGCTCAAGGGTCAATCCATGTGAGAGATCGATACCATTACCCCTTTTGGCCGCCTCTTCGTCCTCAGCTCGGAGCTCTATCAACAGATCGATGAAGTCGTTGCGCTTTACGCCGTTCTTGAGGCGATAGTCTATGGTGTTCTTAACCGCCGATAAGAAGAAATCACTCAGATCGTCGCGTAACACCTTCATCCTTAACTTTCTAGCCAATTTAGCATTTGTGAATATAAATGATTGCACAATCGAAGAGTGTCGGGGTTTCTCAAATACCATGCGACCCTTCTGTCGAAACTCGGCATTCGGATCCTGGAGACTGTAGCACTCGAGTCCAAAGGCACACGATCCTATGACGTCCGTGGTAAACCTGGCACACAGGTCCTTGATCTCCACATCTCCTTCCTCGACCTTGGCAGCCTCCACTTCCTTATCCATGGCATCGGCCAGGCGATGACCCACATCCACGACAACTCCTGCCATGTTCTTCATCTTTCCGGAGGTGAAAACGGGAGTGAGCTTCTGCCTCATCGACTTCCACTCCTCACCCTCAAGAGTCAAAAGGTGTCCTGTCAAGGGATCGTCACGGACATTGTTAAAAATGCCGCGGTCTTGGAAGTAATGGAAGTCCTTGATGAGAACTTGCTTGATGAGATCCAGATCAGTGATTAAGGCAGTTGGCTTGAAGAACATAAACATTCCTGCGAAGGGAGCCTTTCCCTTGAACTTGTCGTAGATCCTCTGATTGACGTCCCGGAAATGGTACTTCGATCCGATCCCCTTCAAGTTGCCAATCAGAGGCAAGGGACGCTCATGAGGAACCCCTTTTCGGGCCCAATAAGTATAGGTGTTATGGTAGAATCTATAGGCCAAGAGTAGGGCTACGCCCAGAAGTGCTAGTGTTAGCAGCATGGCGATGAGACAAAATTTCGATGACGCAAAACAAAAGTTTCAGATTAAATTTCTAATAATTGTCGAACTTTAGTTATTCCAATCGACTTAACTTGTGAAACGCAAAATTAGAACTGAATGAACCGACGCATATGGTATTTATAAGTTCTAAAGCTTTGTGTTTACTATAAGCAATACCACCAAAACAGAATTGATAGCTATAAACTTTTGCGAAGCTTTTCTCTTATTGACAAACAAATTCTCTTCTCTTTTACCATGGCGATCAAAACAGAAACGATAGATAATATAGTAAACAAATGAATAACTTATTTGCCGGAGGAACGCTTTTGGTGCTGAAAAGAGAGTGAGAGAGTAGCTATTTTCGTACTACAACTAACAAAGTTTTTAAAACGATTGTGGCTGGGCAAGCGTTATCAGTAGCAAACTCTAACGAGTGCCGCTCTCCCATTATCACTCTCAAACAATGTGTTCTAAACAATTAACATAACTACCAAAATAGCACTGATAAATATAATACTCAACCAAGTACTTTACTCATAAACGGTTAACGTTAATGGTTGTACTCGTAATCAAACAATAAAGATTGCGAATGTACTTAATCACCAAAAAGTTTTTCTTATCCAAATACTGCCAATGATGAGTAATATTCCGGAATCCTAAAAAGTAATTAATTCAAAAAAGTTTATTCATTTTAAAGGTATCTCTTTTCTGGTTTTACCTTCCTATTTTTTCATTTAACGGATCTCACTGAGCTCCGGTCGAAAGAGCCTAACTTCCCGGCCAAATCCGGCTGGGCCAACCTGAATACCTGCACGAGCACCGAGTGGAGGGAATTCGTGGTCACCGATCGTCCCATTCTCCAGATTTCCGAGACCAGATCCTAGAGGCAAACAGATCCGTGGTTTCAATTTCTCCACTTGAAGGTGACACTCCCTCGTCAGCTTTGCGCCCACTTCGACCATGGTGGGAAACATGAACTTCATTTTGACGGAGAATTAAGAGATTTCCCGTCACCGGTTCGTCCCTCACATTGTGGAATAGAACCTGATAATCGAAGTCAAAAACTTGTTAAGAATATTTTTGAATTTACAACGCCTTCATTCACAGTTTTTGTAAGTACATTTTTATTAGCTTGGCAGTCATAAAAAGGCAACCAAAAACGTAGTATGTACATATATTAGTTATCTAGGAATTGATCGTCATTATAACTAGCTTATCAAGCCGGTAATGAGCTATTAGGCGTATTTAGGATTCTTATTAATGTAAGATACATACAAAAGTACATTTTTTGTTTCTATAGTTCCTAGATGCGTTCCACTTTAAGATGAATGCCATATTTGGTGCCCAAAGTGGGACTGCGAGGGTCCAAGGTCAGGGGAATTTCTGTCAACTTTGAAGTACCAAACTTAAAGCGTTGCAACAGGGACACAATGCCAATCTTGGCCTGCATTTTCCCGAACCGCAGGCCAATGCAGTTTCGGGGTCCATCGCCAAATGGCAGATATGAAAACGGATGGCGGGACTTTATCTCCTCCGGCTCAAAGCGACTGGGATCGAATTTTTCTGGATCTGGATACAAGTCGGCATTATGGTGGATGTTATGTACAGGTATCGCTACGGTGGTTCCCTTCTCGATAACAAACTCTGTATTTGGAACTTTGTAGGTCTGATTGGCTTCTCTCAGGAGTTGAGAAACTATGGGATGCTTCCGAAGAGTTTCTGCAAGGAAAGGTGATTGGATTTTTTCGCATTTCGAAATTATAATATTGTATTTACCAGCCAACACCTGATCCAGGTAAGTCATTTCAGCTAAGGCATCGTAGGTCATCTCACCTCCTTGAAGAACCCTATTTATCTCGTCTCTAACCTTTTCTTGAATGTCGGGTTGGAGAGCCAGTTCATACAAACAAAAGGCCATCGTACTCGAGGAGGTCTCGAATCCTGCCACGAAGAACACAAAGGCCTGGGCAGCCATTTGCTCAAGGGTCAACCCATGTGAAAGATCGATACCATTGCCCTTTTTGACCGCCTCTTGGTCTTCAGCTCGGAGCTCTATCAACAGATCGATGAAGTCGTTGCGCTTTACGCCGTTCTTGAGGCGATAGTCGATGGTGTTCTTAACCGCCGATAAGAAGAAATTACTCAGATCGTCGCGTAACACCTTCATCCTCAACTTCTTCGCCAACTTGCCATTGGTGAGTATAAATAATTGCACAGCAGCAGAGTGTCGCGGTTTTTCGAAGATCATGCGGCCCTTCTGTCGAAACTCGGCATTCGGATCCTGGAGACTGTAGCATTCGAGTCCAAAGGCACACGATCCTATGACGTCCGTGGTAAACCTGGCACACAGGTCCTTGATCTCCACATCTCCTTCCTCGACCTTGGCAGCCTCCACTTCCTTATCCATGGCATCGGCCAGGCGATGACCCACATCCACGACAACTCCTGCCATGTTCTTCATCTTTCCGGAAGTGAAAACGGGAGTGAGCTTCTGCCTCATCGACTTCCACTCCTCACCCTCAAGAGTCAAAAGGTGTCCTGTCAAGGGATCGTCACGGACATTGTTAAACGCTCCGCGGTCTTGGAAGTAGTGGAAGTCCTTGATGAGAACTTGCTTGATGAGATCCAGATCAGTGATTAAGGCAGTTGGCTTGAGGAACATAAACATTCCTGCGAAGGGAGCCTTTCCCTTGAACTTGTCGTAGATCCTCTGATTGACGTCCCGGAAATGGTACTTCGTTCCGATCCCCTTCAAGTTGCCAATCAGAGGCAAGGGACGCTCATGAGGAACTCCTTTTCGGGCCCAATAAGTATATATGTTGTGGTAGAATCTATAGGCCAAAAGTAGGGCTACGCCCAGAAGTGCTAGTGTAAAAAGCATGGTGATCAGACGCGACTTTTAATGACGCTATACAAATAGTTAGCAATTCAAATTTCATATAAGTATGTCCAATCGACTTAACTTGGGCACCTCAAAATTGGAACTGAATTGCGTTGGCCTATGCATATGGTATTTATAAGTTCTGAAGCTTTGTGTTTACTATAAGCAATACCGCCAAAACAGAATTGATAGCTAGAAACTTTTGCGAAGCTTTCCTCCTATCGGCAAACAAATTGTTCTCTTTCACCATGACGATCAAAACAGAAACGATAGATTATGGTAAGCAAACAAATAAATTATTTGCCGGTAGAACGCTTTGAGTGCTGAAAGAGCGCGTGTAGCTAAAAATATAATTGTGTATACCAAATAAAAAAGTTTTTATTTCGAATATGGGGCTAGACGCACATTATCAGTAGCGAACCTAATCGAGGGCCACTCACCTATTATTCACTATCAAAAATGTGTTCTAAACATTCAACATGACCACCACAACAGAACTGATAAGTTTTTTACTCACGGAATGCTACGCCATCAAATGCGCTTCGTAATGCTGAAGACAGTGGGAAAATATCAGCTGGCGATTGTGGGCGTACTCGTAATCAACGCAATAACGATTGCGAATGTACTCGGGCGCTATAAGTGTTTCTAATGCAAATACGGCAAATGGTGAGTAATACTCAGGTACAGATCTTAAAAGTATTCATTCAAACATTTTTTTTTAAGATTAAGGTATCACTTTCCTTACAGTACCTTGCTTTTTGTTTTCCATTTAAGCTACTCTCAACAACACTTGTCCAATCGACTCCTTGAGTGTTTGTCCTAAGAATTGAAACGTGAGCCTGGGTGCAAACAGGAATCTGAAAAAAGAAGTTTATTGACAGACTGTTGATGACTTGTTGAAGAGCTTGTTTGATGCCTTTTGCCCTTTGCATCTCATCTTTAATTAAAACCAGGCCAGCAGGAAAATCAAATCAAGCGTAAACTCAATGAAACTAACATAAAATCGAGTTGCTGTCGTCTGCAAATTCCCAGGTTTATCACAACTTCGCAGGCAAATTTATGCGGGAGCGATTAAAGGCCCATTAAACGCCATTTCGAATGGACAGCGAACTGGTCGGAACGCCCAACTCCCACTTCAGAGGACCTCTGCGGCTCTTCAGTAAATAATAAAACGGAGTCGCGCCTAAAAGCATTTGGCCTTTGCGGGCGTGTGTGCTGTTGTTGGCGCTTAAAGGATTTGGCCCTAATGCTTACGGCCCGTTTTATGCCGCTAATGCGCCATCTTCCCAATCGACATAAAAATCGTAATGCCGCAGTTAAAGGCAGCTTCAGCCATAAAAATCGCAGCGTGCAAACGAAATCAAAACAAAAGCTGGAATTAAATAATCAAGCAGTGCCTACGGAAATTATGGTTATTATAAATGGATGGCTTTTTGCTGACGTTGATCGATTTGCGGCTTTTAAGTGGAATAATTATGCAGAGAAAAGATAAGTAATGTAATACGTATGTCGTAAATATATGTACCTATTTGTTTTATGGGTAGCTAGGTAATACAACCCTCGATTGTGATTTTGGCATCAACATTTTGTTTTTCGATTTTTGGATTTTCAACTGTAATGTATAGTACAATAAGTTATTTATTGTATTTTGTATTTGCAGTAAGACGAGCTCCACCGCCATTAAATATGTAGGTATATACATTCCAAATTTACGTTACCATCCTAGTGGGAATACTTTACGTTTTTGGCAATACCGAATTTGGCAGTATCATAGCTGCCGAAGGAGCTATCACAAAAAATCCTAATGAAATATTTGTTGATAAAAAAATTCATACTATATAGTGTGCAATATAGCAAATATCTATGATTTTAGATTTAAAACATAATTTATCTTAAAGAGATCAAGTCAGAAATAGAAATTTCATCAAAACTTATGTTTAAACATAATCAAAAACATACTTAAAGAAAACACAAAGATCTTTATTCAAAAGACTCTAAAAGATACAGTTTCCCATAGCTAGCTTTCTTTCTTATTATATCTTGTTATCATTACTTACTAGTAATATTGCAATACTATTTTTAAACGTACACAATTAATGTTGTCATACCTTGACGTATGTATGACTAATCTATGATTTCTATAGATTGCATCTGTTAGGTTAAATTACACTCTGTTTATCGAGATTTCTCGTATCTTACTACGGCGAGCTTCCTCTTTTATGTTTCTTCAAAAACCTATTTTTCATAAACCTATAAAAGGTTTTTTTTTGCAACCCTATAGTAATAATTTTATTTTTAAGCAATCAATCCATTAATAGAGCATGGTGTTTTGAGAATTTTGCTTTGTTTGAGAGTGCTTTGGCTCTCTAAACTCATAGAAAGCTCTCCAGAACTCTAATATCATCGTGTTCCGAGGCTAATTTACCAGTCAACAATGAATGTTAGTATAGAAGAATTTGCCATTTTTGTTTCTCCCAGCTTGACAATGTTTACTTATGGTTATTTACAGAATTCTAAACCAGTTTTCTATTGATTTTCAAAACTGCCTTTACTCACAGTAAAGTAGTATTTCAGCATGCAATATCTGAGTTGTCCGCCGTTTTGCTAAGTCACCTTTCCAGTGCAAGTTTAAATGTTGGCGGAGATAGGAAAAGCTCGGTCAACCTATAAAAAGGCAAACCAACTTGCTTAGTTATTAGTGTTCTCAGAGAGTCAAACAAGAACAGTGGAAAGTGATCGCTCGCAATGTTGTTAACAATCGCCCTTGTGGGCTTGGTTTTGGCTTTGGCCTACAGTTATTATATCAAAATCTATACCTACTGGGACCGCAAAGGGGTTCTTAACGAGAAACCACTACCGGTTGTTGGCAACATGAGGGGAATCGGAACGAAGAAGCATTTTCGAGACATCAATCAGAGGATTTACGACAAGTTCAAGGGAAAGGCTCCCCTCGCCGGGATGTACATGTTCTTCAAGCGATCCGCCATGATCACCGATCTGGATCTCATCAAGCAGATCATGATCAAGGACTTTAGCAACTTTCAGGATCGCGGAGCTTTTAACAACCCCCGTGATGATCCCTTGACCGGTCACCTCTTCACCTTGGAGGGTGAGGAGTGGAAATCGATGAGGCACAAGCTCTCTCCGGTTTTCACCTCCGGAAAAATTAAGCACATGTCGGAAGTGATCGTGGAAGTGGGTCACCGCCTGGCGGATACCATGGATAAGGAAGTGAAGGCTGCCAAGGTCGAGGAAGGAGATGTGGAGATCAAGGACCTGTGTGCCAGGTTCACCACGGATGTCATAGGATCGTGTGCCTTTGGACTTGAGTGTAATAGTCTTCAGGATCCGAATGCCGAGTTCCGAAACAGAGGACGCGATATCTTTCGGAAGCGTCGTCATGGCCAGATTGTGCAATCTTTCTTATTTACCAACGCCAAGTTGGCTAGGAAGCTTAGATTGAAGGTGCTACCCGATGAGATAACAAACTTCTTTTTGTCGACGGTGAAAAATACCATTGATTATCGCCTAAAGAACGGCGTTAAGCGAAACGACTTTATCGATCAGTTAATGCAACTCCGAGCTGAGGACGAAGAGGCGGCCAAAAGGGGAAATGGTATCGACCTGTCACATGGTTTGACCCTGGAGCAAATGGCTGCCCAGGCCTTCGTGTTCTTCGTGGCAGGATTCGAGACCTCCTCCAGCACGATGACCTTCTGCCTTCATGAACTAGCCCAGCAACCGGATGTTCAGCAAAAGCTTAGGGACGAGATCGAAAGTGTTTTGGGAGAAGGAGAGTTGAACTACGACGCTTTGGCCAAAATGAAATATTTGGATCAGGTGTTGGCAGGTAAGTAAGCAGTTTCCTAATTTATAAACATGAGGCTTATTTCCTTTCTTTTAGAAACCCTCCGAAAACACCCGCTTCTACCCCACCTGGTTCGGGAGTGCAACCGCGACTACAAAGTTCCCAACACGGATATTGTGCTGGAGAAGGGCATCAATGTCCTGATTCCCGTGCACAACATCCACCATGATCCTGAGATTTATCCCGATCCGGAGAAGTTCGATCCCAGTCGCTTCGACCCGGAGGAAGTCCAATCCCGACACCCGATGGCTTATTTGCCCTTTGGCGACGGACCTCGAAATTGTATTGGCCTTCGTTTTGGAAAGATTCAGGTCAAGATTGGTCTGGTCTCGCTCATTCGGAAGTTTAAGTTTTCCATCTCGAAACGCACAGAGGTTCCATTGATTTTTTCAAACAAAAATTTCCTTTTGGGCACGGAAAACGGTATTTACCTAAAAGTGGAAAGTGTTTAACTACTAATTAAATCCCTGATTATGGTGAAAGATTAGTCCTAAAACGCCAAACCAAAATTTAATAAATAGATTTAAAACCAATATGAGCCCAAACATACGTGCTTATTTATTATTCACAAATTGTATCAAAGCTTTAACTGGGGCCAAAATTTAACTATTTACGCAATTTAAATGCAAAAAAACCAATCATACTCTAAATTGATTTAGCTAGCTTTCCGTCATTTCGCAGTTTTTAAAAAATGCGTTTAATGTATTAAATAATTAATTTTGCACACCGTGAGGGACAACTAAGATCTTAGCGCGAAAGCAAAACATACTAAATAGAATAAAAGCAATATGCTTATAAGCTATTCACAAATTGTAAACTTAAAGCGTGGGATTCTGCCTTCAGTTAACTTACAAAAAACTAAAATAATTTCATCGCGCCTCAGTTTTAACAAATCATGGTCAACGTATCGAATAATGGACTTTACCTTAAAGAAGAAAGGGTTTAAATTTAATTGAATCCCCTAATTATTGTAGCCTATCGTGAAGGGCGATTAAATGCTAAACGCAAATGGTAAACAGGTGCTTATTAATTATTTACAAATTGTATCAAAGATTAAACTGTGACCAAAACTTTGCTTATTGTTTGTTTTCAATGCCAGAGGCTGAATCAGATAAAAACAAAATTAATTTGGTAAATTTATTGGTTTTGTAAATCATCGCTTAACTGATCAAAGCAAAGTTAGCTTAAAAGTTACATTAAATCTATGCTGGCTAATTTATTTGCAATGGTTTGTGCGATGCCAAAAACTGAAAACTGAAAAAGTGTAGCCATGGATAAATTAAAAGATTTCCATTTTTATGGCCAACCACAACGTACTTTGTAAACCAAACTCCGAGTAATTAGAGTGATGTATGTCCACGCTTTCGTCGAGTATGCGGCACAATTACTTTGGAAAGAAAAGCGGCAAAAAGAATAACAAAGTATTCACCAGCTAATCTGAAGCCAAAATCCGGCTAAAACTTTTCCGTGACTCGCCCACTAATTTGCTCATTTCTCATGCGTTACTTGCCAGCTGCTAACCGAGTACGACTGTTTTGACAGAATTGCATGTGCTATGCAATATGTTTGCCGCTTTTGGGGAGCAGTTTTGCAGCCCGGCACAAGTTTTCGCTGAGGCGCCTCTTGATAGTGCAGTCACGCCACAGAATCCTCGGGGCAACGGGGGAAAAAAACGCAAAACAAAAACTCGGAGCTGCAAAACAAATGGAATAATTAGCCAGAATAAGATGAACTTGCTCACGGCATCGGGAGAACCGAAAGAACAGGTGCAGTTCTCAAATTCCCCAAGGATAACCGAGCATTCGTTTCTGTTTCGAGTTTCCTGTTTTTGCAGCTTTAAATGGAGAAATGATATCGGAGTCCCAACGGAATGTCCGGTTGCGGAAACTAAAATCAAAAACAGAATCGGTTACAACGAGGAAGTGTAAAGTAAAGTAAGACAAAGACCACGAGCTCCCGGTATCCCGTATCGCCTGATTGGATCCGAGTGGGTGGATCTGGGTGGCAGTATCCTTGTATCCTTGTATTCTTGTATATGTTTGTGTTTATAAGACCCTGGCTGACTGACTGGATGGCCATTGATTTTCGCTCAATTGGCGGCGTTGTCTATTTGGAAAACAGCTGCCTTGATGGGGCGGAAAAAATACAATATCGCATGCCTCCACTGCCACTTTTCGCACTTTTTTATTTTCGGAGGCCATAATTCATTTAGGCCAAATTCCTTTTCTTTCGCACAGACAATTTGAGCCGATGCCCTGATGCCAATGCCTCATCATCAGCAGTGGACGAGGCCCACGCATCCCGTCGACGCCAGTGTTTTTATTATTATGTTATTTACATTTATTATTGATTGATAACAAATTGCTAAGCATTGACTAACGAGGGCACATTGTGGCCGAAAGGTCAAAGTGTTCGCACCTGCCTCTCCAGCCCGAAAGTCCGGCTGCTGCACGTAATTATGTGAAATTCTCCGGAAGGCGAAGCTGCAAGCTGGGCTATATCTGCAGATTCCTGCTCTTCGGGAAGCTGGGTCACGTCCTTCGCTTGTGGCAGTAGTTGGTTTAAGCTAAATGCTGAACCGGAAAAATGCCAGCACAATAATATCTTCACCACTAGCTTCTCTGAACGCTTTAAAGGATGAACTTTTATATATTCTCTTATATAAAATGAAATATCTTTACTTTAAGATGTGCCTTTGGTGTTTATATCACATTTTCTTTTTATTTACATATAATTTTTTTTATTGATGACCCTATGTTCTATGTTTATGCTTAAGGTCACTCAATATATTTCATTTTAAATTTGGACCAAATTATGGGTGGACAATTATGTAAATGAACATGCTTGTCAATTTGGTGATTATTTATTCTTTAATTATAATTTGTATAATGAACTGATGTCCTAAAGTATTGGATTGCACTTTACGCTTTTAATTTAACTTTTATTCATTAAAAATAATTTGATCATATCTCTTTCTTCTTCATGTTTTCCGAATTCAATTTAATATTGCTGTTTCTGATTGCAACACATTCAGTAACTTAATGGGAAAGGGTATTCATCTTTCGAGTTCAATCCCAGCTCCTGGTCATTTCCTTGCTGACCCAGAGATTTATGAGCTGCGTACTGATATAAATCATGCTTAGGTAACATTCATTATGCTTAGGTGGAGCCGGTTAGAGGCCTCTGGAGAAATTCTGTCCAAGCACACTTTTGCGGGCAGCGCCGAGGTGTTCAAACGGTGTTGAACTTTTATGGCCCAGGCGGGCATTTTGTAAGCGCTTTGCGTAATAAATGGCCCCGACCAAAAGCCATACAAATTGCTAATTACTTGAGCTGAAAGGTGTCAGAGTCACTTGAGCGGCCTGTGGCCGGTTGGGGGATCTCCTTTGAGCGCCTGTGACAAGGCACTTTACAATTTCATTGGTCGCCTTATTTATGTTGCTAGCTGGCTGCTTTTCCCAGGACGGCCATATAAATTATAGCGGAAATATTGGCTGGTCGAGGCGGAAAAACATTGAATGCAAAGGCACTTTTCGATTGCCTTGGCAACTGGAGGGGCATTCGACTGGAATAAAGTGCTTCTGCGGCTTTGTTTTTCCATCTGCATTATCTAACGCTTGCTGCAAGCAAGGTCCACTTTTGTGGCTTAGTATTGGCCGTTGGCAAAAAAATGAAATAGAAAAAGATTAAATTATCTTTCCATGCTTCCGTGTCCCTAGCTTTCGACTTACAACTCCCACACACAAGCCAAGAACACTTTCAATTCCGAGCGAGGCTGTGGAATTGTTTATTGCTTGGTCATTCGGCTGCCGAATTTCCTCTTGGCAATTGATTGTGAGTGTGGACACAATCAATTTTTCCAAATCGTTTGGCAGACGACTAGCATTAAGCTGTCAGAGGACATCAGCAGCTGGCCAATTCGGCCAGACGATAATTTATCATTCCGTCCGGGGGCCTAATCAAATCAAGTCCTGATTTGATAAAAAGCCAACGCGAAACTGTATGTCAACTAGCGCTTGTCTGTTTTAGAATCTTTGGCAAATCCCGAACAAATCCTTTGACATAGTTTTCGTCGATCCACTTGATTAATGGCATTACTGGCTGCCACTTACCTGGGCGCACACGTCGTATGCTCAATTTTAAGTCAACGTCAACGGGTTGTCAACGAAGCAAATGCTCCTGCTCTACACCGGATTTCTGCTGCTCGACAATTTTCAGACTGAACTAGTGCTATTAGAGACCCGACACCTGGATGCAATGCATGCGGCTGGGAAATTGGCAATTGCCATTGGCTCTTGCAACCTAATGCACTTCATTGCAGGTTGGCAAGGATTTTTCGGATTCGATTTACAGGGAAACCGAAACTGCAAATGGACTCGGCTTACCGTCCCTTTCTGTTTCATTATCGAGATTTTAAAATTATAAGTACTAATAATTGAAAGGGAAAGTCACGTTTTTTGATCAAATTAAAAAATGAAAGAAAATGGCCCTGAATACATTCAATATTCAGTGCTATTTTCTTCTAAAACAAACCTAAAGCTGACGTTTGTAAAAAAAAAAAACAATTAGTCAAAAGGATCTTCAATAAATTTCTTGCATAAAAAACATTTGGTCGTAAAAGGTATTCAATGTTTAAACCAGCCAATTGAAAACCACTCGTGCAGCTTGGAAATCGTGCGTAAAATTTACCGTAGCGAAAATTCTTCAATGCAACCGAATAAATTTTCATTTTTCATTTGGTTTTACTGACTTTGTGATTTCGTTACCTTTGGCTTGCTGAATGTTGATTTACTTTGCATTCCTTAGAAAAGCATTCAAGAATGTTAAAATTGAAACATTGTTAAAAGGAGTATTCAAAAAAAAAAAAAAAAAAAAACAATTGAAAATTTAATTGAAGTGTAGAAAACGAATTGAGGCCTAAACTTTGACCATGTAAAAGTAAGAAATTGGGAAATCGTTTGGATTTTTTATATCTAATATTAATTAATTTGTGCATTGAACTGAACTGAAAATGAATATTTTTGTTCATTCAAGTTTAAATAAGATCATTTTTGTGCTTCGTAAAGTTTCTTGAAAGTAAAAGTCCAAAAAGCAAACCGGAATATTAAAATTTAATTACTTTTCTTGAAAAACTTAGTCACGTGTATGGTAATTCAATATTCAACACTTTGACTTCAAGAGCTTACATAATTTTTGAAACATGTCTAAAGCTTCAAAGTTGTGAGAATAATATAAAGCCAGCAAAAATTCTTGTAAGCAGTTAAATAGATTTCCGTAAATTTGTTTTTGTGCTTTTATATTCTTGGTTTGGTGAATGTTGAGTAACTTTACAATATGTAACAAAGAATAAAATGAAAAAATGGGAAAAATTGAAAGCAGGGACTTAAAAAATACAGTGAAGTGGCAAACTTTTGCAAAGTACAAACCACTAGCCTGTAACAATTGAGAATCACGAACTGCGGTTTCCTAATAATTATTTCCTCAACCCTGAAGTTTCTTGTTACAGTTTGCAGCTTTGACTGGCATAGTTGAAAATATTTAAATGGAAACACCTGCAATTGTGGTTATAGTTCATTCAAAGATTGACACAATATTTTATTTTATTTAAAGTATACATAATTTTTGTCAAATAACTAAAATGTGAATCAGCTAATTAATTAAATGTTCCTAAGTATTTTATAAGGGAAAATTGTAGTTTTGTGAAAGTAATCAAAATGGCTCAAATTGAATTTCATTTTAATTAAATTAAAATAGCTCATTAATAACCTACAATGATATCGAATAAAATAATTGAGTTGTAATTGGGAATATCTATTGATAAATCGTAAATCACAGATATCATTATGTATCCAAAATTGTAGTAATTGTGTAACTTGATTATTATTTACTCCTGGTGAGTTTGCACTGGTTGTCCTTGCAATAATTGTCATGTGCGTGTAATGTTGAGTTTGTCGCATGGCGTTAACCTTTTGACGGTTAACCTGATCCTGACATGGCCTTTGCCACTTGTCAAATCAAATTAAGTTGTCGTTCCATTCAGCCGCTCGCAATGTGTGTGGACAATTATCGTATATTT